AAACGTGGCAAGTACTCTGTTAGTATACAAGTACCACTGAATGCTTTGCAAGGATCAATATTTCCGTAATCCTCACTTCCGTCATGTGAGACAAGGTATGAAGCAATATATATATGGTAAGGCAAAGATTTGTCGAGCTACAATAGATCAACCAAATCTCTGTACCGCATCAGTAATAAAATTGGGATCATGTGGCGCGGTCGATCATAAGTTTGCGATATAATTTAGAGGTCTTGTTCTGGATTCTGCTCCAGATCTGATCAGTCTAGCATCGGATTTTGTCACATGATGTCTAAAAACTTGTTATTGAGGCAGCACGAAGTTACCTGTGTAGCAGGCGCTTGATAGTAATGGGCGTCCCTCGCGCGCAGTTCTTTCCAATGCCCATTGCTTCGCTTGCTACGCTACGTAGGCTACTTCGTGTCGCTTCAATAACAAGTTTACAGACATCATGTGACTGACATAATCCGGCGAAAACAAGTGACAGGAGACATGAAAGTATCCGTCATCCTAATTTTCTGTTTGTTTAATGTATAGTTCAAAAGAAAAAAGCATAAATGTTTCGTTTTTGACTGTGCCATTGATTTTGCGTGGCATTCATAGCAAAGCGACGTACATGTACGCCTAATTGCAATAACGTTGTCATAGAAAAAAGCAAAAAGCAAAAAGCAAAAAGAAAAAAGCCAAATAGGAATTAATTAGCCATGTGATTTACATTTGCGTATTTTAATAATGTAACAATTATTTAAGAAGTCAGTCACAATAACAAGAAATAATTCTGTAATTCCGCGCTGTAAGATTCCGCAGATGAAACACTGATGTGTGTAACAAAAGGGTCCTGACAAACGAAGCTTAGTTTGTGGCGCGGGAGAGGGACTGGCTGAGGAACGCCTCACCCTCTCCGCGATGGAAAGTCCTGCGTACGCCCCTGATTTGTTGCTTGAAAATTGTGATCTGATGGTGTGGTGCACTACAAACCATACGCAGACTGGCTTTTCTATTTAGCACTAAACGAAAAGACGCGTCGCGTTCCTGGAATTTACCCTAGGCTATATTTATTGGAAAAAAAATGGAGCCATTTTTTCTTTAGTAGTTATCCGATGTACGTTTGTAATTAGAGCACGTTTGAAATCCGCTAGATGAATCAGCCTCGAATTGCATTAGAATGACACCAAGAAACAGATGCAAATGATTTCTCTCATGTTACGTGATTAATATTCAGCTATAAGCGTGTGTGTTGGGAATGTTGCAAGCAATGATAATTAAATGCTAATTAATTCCTGTTTGGCTTTTTGCCTTTTGCTTTTTGCTTTTTGCTTTTTTCTATGACAACCTTATTGCAAATAGGTGTATGTCATTTTATGCATAACATAACATTAAAGTCATTCAACCTCTATCCGGCCCTGTTCTATTTTAACATCTTCATCGATCTTTGTGTCATTTATCTTCTTATTTCTATGTTTGGTATGTCTGTTTCTCTCTTTATACGACTCTAACCAGTATGGTTGAAGGGATAGTAGTTGGCTTTTAACATCGTGACAAGACGGCCAAGCTGTCGGCCAAAACAGTTCTTTTCGCAGAATTTGCATGAAGAAAGAGTTAGAGTTCCAGCGGAGGGGAACACTTGTTCTTGTTCACCAGCATGACCGCCGAGACTTCAGCTGAAAACCAGCAATAAAAAGCAAAAACATGAAGCCATTTGTTCCACAGACTTACAACTGAAATGCACACAGACACCAATGACTGGAAATCAAACAGTTTTATACTAGTAATAATTGGAATAATGGAATAATAACTGCCTTGCATAAATCAGGAAACAAAGACGAGCCTTCAAATTTCAGAGGTATTTGCATCAGTAGCTGTCTCGGCAAGCTCTTCTGTTCAATTTTAAATACAACAACAAGAACAACATAAGTTTTATGAGTTACAGTATTGCAAAAGCTTTAAGACAGAATTACAATTTAATATACTAATGATAATACAATGCAATGATAATAATAGTCAATCAAGTGTAAATTTGTATAGGTAGTAGCATGATTTGTAGTGATACTTGGCATAAATAACACGAGTGATATTTCGAAATTGTTATACGTAACATCACGAGCCGTTAGGCGAGTGAAATTTGAGACAATTTTGAAAGTCACGAATGGTATTTATGCCAAATATCACGTACAAATCATGCAATTATTTGTTTATACTACTACCCGCAAAAGGTTTGTAATTTTCACATGTAGGTATTTCAAATTAAGCTGAAATACCACTGCTGAAAAATTCCTTGAATTCATCAATTTAATTACTTATTTTGTGCAAGATAGCTGACTAAAAATCGACAAAGTTTTGTTTTGCTTTGGACTGAATACTTTGGACAACGCAAGAGAAAATGAAATCCAGAGTTACAAAGAGGGTAGAATCTATCGTTGTGGGGAGTTTGATTATATCTTCAAGTTTCAAACATGAGTTTGTGGTTAATTATACGAATTTTGACCAAGTTTTCCCTGTTGGTTGAATTTCTAGTTAAGTCTAGATAACTTGAAATTTTATCGTCATGTTTAATTATGCTGTTAAATTGAGTTTTCTTAGAATGATGGATTGTATGTTGCCAATATGTAATATATTTTTGTTTTATTATATCTATATAGTGTTTGATCTTAGCTTCACTTAAATTATTAGGATCAAAATCGGACAGTTCATAATATTCAGATATTTTGATAAGCGAATGGTAAAAGCTATTTTTACCACTATAGTGAAATTCTAGCGAGGTACGAAAGGTTTGTTTAACAATAGTATCCTCGTTTTTACGCAGAACATACAATATGTAATGAAGGATGTTTTTGTAAATATTAATAATTAATGTCGACCTTATTTACTTCTACTTGCAACATTTGAAGCCTTACTGTTTCTTTCTAGGTAACCCTCGCAAAATTTGAAGTGGGTTTTTTCAATTGGGGTATATATACACCCCAAATTTCGCTACTATATGATAATATTGGGGAAATCATTGCTTCAAATGTTTTGCAAGCAAGAGAAGGTTTTAATTTGCTAAAATTTCTGTGTTTTCGTAGGTTGAATAAAGCGTGAAGAGCTTTGTCTTTTAAATAATATTCTAGTGAAACATTAAAATTACCGCATTTGATGAAATTCGCGTTCCCCAATACGTGTACTCGTGTACAGGATCAATAACGTCTTTGCCTATATAAAAGTTATCTGTGAATTTTCTTGCATGTTTCTGAAAGATCAGAATTTTTGTTTTCTGCGAATTCACTTCTACCATCTATGAGCTACTGAAAGAGGACAACGTGTTTAGACAGTTTTGCAAACCTATTCTAGATCGTGACAATATAATCAGGTCATCCGCATATAAGAGGGAGTTTAATTTTGTGCCATTCGGTAAAACGATAGGATCAGATAAAATATTTTCAAACGGAAATAGAAGCTAGTTCATTGATGTACAGGTTAAAGAACAATGGACTTAAAATACAACCTTGGCGTACACCTCTCGAGTAACGAAAGGGTCGCTACTGGGTTTGACCGATTTTTATGGCACAATTATTAGTCTTTTATTATTCAACAAAAATAACACTTGGCGTCCTATAATAATAATAATAATAATAATAATAATAATAATAATAATAATTTAATAACTTCTAGAGCGTTATTTACATTCACTGATCAACAGCGCTTAACAACTTAAAAAAACTACAATAAAATTCAAATTTGTAAAACTAATTACATGTACATGAATATTACTTGCTACTTGCTTTATTGTACAAACGACCGGTTTCAATAGACCGGCGAAATTTCTCATTTTATTAAAGCACTGAGGTTACGATAACTTCGAGTTAAACTGATTTCACGCGTTAGAGTCGAGCGATTCCCTTTTCCCAGGTGAGCGCCGACTCATTTCGCTTTAATATTCGGAAATGCTCTCGATCTCTTTACGCTTTCATTGCCTTTCGCCCGACATGTTTTGCATGGCGTTTAGTCATGCGAAACCTTCACGAAACATCCACGCAGCGCGCGAGGTAACTTTATCCCGATTCTAAAAATAACTCGACACGAATTACCTATGGAATAGGGTGTGTATGGGGGATGCCTTCTCCGAGTGTCCCCTTTATCCTCTCTTGTCCTTACATATCACTGAAGCAGTGGTTATATACGGATACGACTTGGATAATAATATATGTGTGGTTATATGATTATTTCGTTAATCATAACTATAACAAAATTCTCAAATCTGATTGGCTATGACAGTATGCGTGATGCCTAAGTAATTGGACAATTGATGCGCCATCACGCGCTCGCTTAAATGGCATTTTTTCACTACTGGCAAAAAAAGGGTCTTGGGATTTCTGGTGTTTTGATTTTAAAAAGGAGCCTTATATATCACAAATTTTGTTAAAGTTATGATTAATTGGTAACAGAACTTCGTGTTGTCCAATTCGGTCTGTAATCATACGGCTCGTGATTAAACAAATCGGACTCCCGCTACGCGGTCGTCTGATTTTGTTAACCTCTCGTATGATCACAGACCGAATTGGACTAAACTCAATGCTGTTACCATTACTAATTTGCTGTTGAAAGATTGGTATGTGAAATATAACAATCTTTTTAATGACCTAGGGTAAATTATAGTAATAATAAATAATTTGTACCTCCTCTCCTGTTGCTGTATATTCTACATACTTGAAATTTTACATGCAATGACATTAATATCATTGGAGCTTCAATTATATCTTTGTTTTTGTGTCTTGCTTTTTCTTAAATTGGTGTTCCCCTTTCAGATCTTGAGCGGTACTGATTACCATGGATAATCTATCTCAACTGGCCCTCAGGACTCAGACCATATTTGGTGGCATTCATTTCATTTTCTTTCTAATCTCCTGGCCATTTGTAATTGGTTTCCTGAAGGATTACCACGACAAAGACAGACTGACTTTAACTGTATCCCCAAGCCAGAAGACTTCACCAGACAACGTTGTTATGATAATTATACTTCTGCTATGAGCCTGCTCCCACTCCATCTAACACCATTAGACTTTGCTTGTACCGCGTATGGTGGACTGGGGATGGTCTGGGTGTCTTTTATTCTTATGGGGGCAGTGATTCTACGACGGATCCAAAGAGAGCGAGGCGAACAAGGGAAAAGAAAACACTCGAAAACGTTTGTGCTGACATTCATCGCTCATGTTTGCATTCAGCTTGTTTTCCTTGGTGTCATGATGGGACTGTTTTGTACTTACCAGCGCCTCCATTTTCCTGCGGAGTACAAATGCCATCAGACAAACATAACGCTAACTTCACTTAACCAAAGGCCAGTTAATATTAAATGCAATGACTTACGATACAAAGAGAAATCAAAACTAAACATTGCTATTATTGGGATTATGGCTTTTTCCATCGTCTTTTGTTTATTTACCCTTATTCACTTAGCAGTAACAAGAAAAGCGTTTCTAGAGCAGCTGCTTGGGGACATTTTTGAAAGGGAAGATGGAAATGTGGCAGGACTAAATTTAGTGGGTGAGTTGAGAGCCCGATATTGATAATAGTTGCTAGATGCGTTTTGAAATATCAGGTTTGACCATCCATAGATTTAGGCTATAGGGACCCTTACTATAGAGGTACTGATTATTAATCACATTTATCATACAGTATATCTTATCTGTGACAGAGTACTGTACTCAGTGTTACAGCATGGGAAAGGAAGTAGCTTGCAAAAGTTTGCTCGGATTGTATTCTGCACTTTAAACCCAGTACATAAATTCTGCCATTGTATTGATAACAAAAATCAACCGCTTAGGTTAACAGTCAGCTGCGAGGATCATGTTCACTTTCCTAAACATCAACTGCTTTGGAACGTTCCCTGCAACACACCTTTTGTTCGCAAACACTCGTTTTTTTCTCTACTGATTACACTAAAGTTGATTTAAATTTTGTAACTTAAAAATTATGTAAATAAGTGTAAGTATAAAGCAGTTAATATTTTTCATTTCCCAGGAATTCAGCGTCGGTGCTCATTGCTGAAACAACCTGCCGTGACAGTACGAGCAAAAATAACACCGCTCTCCCTATATTAGTCTTTAGCACTGATTTTTAAAAAGAGTCGCTCTTACTTGTGCTTCGTAAGACTGAAATTCTCATCTTGCCCTTATCTTGAACAAGTGGCATCAGCTATTTTTGTGACGATTCAAATACAGCACAATGTTCATAGTGTGGTTCCATGCAGCTGTCGGTAAGTTGAAATAATTCGAGCAGAAATGAATATATAGCCACTTGAGATGCATTTTTTTCACATTTGTTATAGAGTGGTTGGCTTAAAAGAAGTGATAAAAGTCAAAATGTTACCATACATAAGACAGGGTTGGTACGTAATGAACTCCTAAAGCCCTTTATTTACCAGCAATAATTGACCTTTTTCCTCTGTTCATTTATTTTTCCGCAGTGATTACCGTATCAGAAGCGGTGAAAAAATCAACAAAGAAGCAAACGGAATTCCTGCCCAAACTGTTAAATGTTTCCACTATACCCTCCTTGAGGACAGATGAAATATTCACTAATCTTCTAATACAACGCGGAAGAAAACCCGTTGGCAAATTTGAGTATACAGGAAGAAGAGACCGGCTTGTTGGTTATAGTCGTGTTAGTGGAACTCAAGTCGAGGAGAGTCAAGAAATATTTTTTCGGACAGTCGATGATGAGAGTAACCCCAAACGCATTCTTCTCACCGGAAAAGCAGGAATCGGAAAAAGTCTCTTTTGTCAAAAGCTGCTTCGAGATTGGGCTAATGATGAATTATTTAAGCCCGGCCCAAGAAACAGGGAATTTACAGATTTTGTGTTTACGTATTTGTTGACTTTTCGACAGTTAAGTTTACTTGGTGAGCAGAATTTTTCTTTACAAGATATCTTGAACCGTTCCACACTTTTGGATGATCAGTGCCGTATCGATGATTTGCTTCTGCAATACTTGGTCAATCATCCTGAAGAAGTCTTGATTATAATGTACGGTTTTGACGAATATTCTCTGCAAGATTACATTGTCGGTAACACACATGAAAGGTATCCAAATTCCTGTCAAGAGAAAATGCCGGTTGCTGCATTATGTGCCAAACTAATAAACGGGCAAATCTTAGGTCAGTCCACTGTATTGGTAACTTCAAGACCTGATGAATCTGATAAACTCTGTGAAGTTCGCTTTCATCGTAATGTCGAGATAAGAGGATTTTCTGAACAGGAGGTTTCAGAGTACATCAAGAGGTATTTCCGAGAAAACGAGAACATGAAGAACATCGTGCTTGAACACATCACCGAGAACGAGGATCTTCTCAGCTTTGCTCACGTTCCCGTACTCTGCGCCCTGATGTGTTCACATTTTGAGTGGATTTTGAAAGCATCAAACAGTTCCGAAGATCTCCCTGTTAAAATTAGTGAGCTGTATTCTGAAGTGCTAACCGTTTTTGAAAGAAATCACATCAAGAAGAAGCAAACCGTTGTCGGAGAAAGCACCCTAGATAAACTGTCTGATTTTGCAGCTCAGTCGCTATTGTCGCGAAAGTTTGAATTCACTGAAGATGAAATGAAACGGCTAAATTTGGAAGAAGTTGATGTCGAAGCCCTCAGAAGAGGAGGGCTTCTACATTGTGGTCCACCTTTTATGATATCGATTTCTGAAACAAGGAAGTATTTTTGCTTTACCCACTTGACTGTTCATGAGTACTTAGCGGCTCGTTCCTTTGTAAAAGGGAGAGAGATTCCCAAAGATGTGTCTACAATGGTTTTACAATTCATAGCCGGTATTTTGTCAAAGACAAAAGATGGCATTCTTATGGAAGAATTGTTGAAGAAACTTCCAGACACTAAGAAAAAGCTTCTCTTTCAAGCACAGTGCCTTTGTGAATATAATGATAAAGAGTTCGCTAGAAATCACTTCCGCCAGTTATGCATTGCTAGTAACGATTATGGAAAATATGTACAGTTTCAGGACATTAATGATGTGGACTGTATTGCCTTAGAGTTTTTGTTGGATGTCTTCAGCTCAATGAATGAAGTCGGCATAACTTCCTCAAACCAATCATTATCTGAGCTCATTATTCAGCATTCATTCCTTTCGCTCTCTGGAGTAAAACGGATATGCAGAGCTTTGCAGTCAAACTTTTGTGCTGTCAACAGATTGACTCTGCTCTTTTGTGGTTTGAAAGCAGAATGTGTACAACCACATATTCGCGTGTTGGTGGCAACTAAACTATTTTATTTAAATCTGGCTGGTAATCAGATCACCGATGATGGTGTTGCTAGTCTGAGTGAAGCACTAAAACAATCAACCTGTCAACTAACCACACTAGATCTGCCTAGTAATCAGATCACCGATGATGGTGTTGCTAGTCTGAGTGAAGCGCTAAAACAACCAACCTGTCAACTAACCACACTAGATCTGGCTGTTAATCAGATCACCGATGATGGTTTTGCTAGTCTGAGTGAAGCACTAAAACAATCAACCTTTCAACTAACCACACTACATCTGGGTGATAATCAGATCACCGATGATGGTGTTGCTAGTATGAGTGAAGCGCTAAAACAATCAACTTGTCAACTAACCACACTAGATCTGGCTGATAATGAGATCACCGATGTTGGTGTTGCTAGTCTGAGTGAAGCACTAAAACAATCAACCTGTCAACTAACCACACTAGATCTGGCTGATAATCAGATCACCGATGTTGGTGTTGCTAGTCTGAGTGAAGCACTAAAACAATCAACCTGTCAACTAACCACACTAGATCTGGCTGGTAATCAGATCACCTATGATGGTGTTGGTAATCTGAGTGAAGCACTAAAACAATCAACCTGTCAACTAACCACTCTATATCTGGCTGGGCGTCAGATCACCGATGCTGGTGTTGCTAGTCTGAGTGAAGCACTAAAACAATCAACGTGTAAACTAACCAAACTGTATCTGAATGATAGTAAGATCACCGACGATGGTGTTGCTAGTCTGAGAGTGAAGCACTAAAACAATCAACCTGTCAACTAACCACACTAGATTTGTGTGCTATCAGATCACTGATGCTGGTTTTTACTATTCTGAATGAAGCATCTGTCTCCTCCACAAAGGCTCTCGCAGGGTATCCCGATAAATATGGCAATAACTGAAAAATGGAAAGCGAGCAGGGGATGCCATCATTCTCCGGGTTCTTTCTTTTTTTTTCTCCCCAGCCTCCCTACCGGCCTACAACACAAAGAGGCCTCTGCGGAGGAGAGAGGTGAAGCATTCAGGGGCGGATCCAGAAAATTTAGAAAGGGGTGGCCGGCCGGGGACACTTGCCAGCTATATAGAAACTTTTTATTTTGCTGAGAATTCTACTAAAAATAATACGAAATTTCAAACAAAAGGGGTGGTCGAGGGACCCTCGGCCCACCCGTAAATCTACCCTTGGCACTAAATTCTTTGCTTCACAGCCGTTCTTTTGTCGTCAAACAACGCTCCTCTCTTTCTCGTCCTTTGCGTGACGACACAAAGAACGGCTGTGAAGCAGACTTCAATTACGGCTCAATAATAATCTGGTCAAAACTCGTAAAGCACCCTTCGCAAACCTCTCCTAGCCTCTAGTTATAATTATTGCAAAAAAGATCACATTTATGTGATAATAACTTCAACGACGGAACTATACCTTTCTTATATTTTTGAAGTTGTTTATGGCTCAGCCAATTCCAAGCGTGCTCAGCCTAACACTAGAACGCCATGTCCTCTTCAGTTTGTTCACATACTAATTTCATACCTAAAGTAACGTGTTTTTTGCGTGTGCTAATTTGCAACGTTCGCAAAAGCATCATTGTTATCGACCCTATTGAGACTCGCCTTAGGCCCCTGGCCCCGTCCACATGTATCCGGATATTTTTGAATTCGCAACTTTTTCTTTCCGGATTCAAGCATTTCCATGTCCACACCTATCCGCCGTATTCAAATCGAATTTTGCACGTAAACACGTATTCTGCAAGTATCCGGATAAACTCTAGTACCTAGGACTCCTCTAGAAATCTCTTTTGCAACACAGCGCCTTTTAACATATAAATGATCAGAAGCGTTTTAAAGTCATACTGTAATTGAAATTTGTAAAATGAATCTATGATAGATAAAACCGATAAAAAGTAAAAATGCTGATAAAAATACATAATAAAAAGAAATAAAATCTGGTTAAAACTACATAAATTTTTGAAATACTTTTTGAGCATGCCTCGTAAGGCGCGGGAAATTTGAATCTTGCTCTGCCTTGTGTTATGATTCTCGATTTTATCGCTAGAATAAGAGAGAGAACCTGGGAACGAAGTTGCCATCTTAGTATTCATTACAGTATTCTTTACAGTACGTATTCACGATTCGGGGTTGATGATTCGCGATAACGATATCTTGTTACGTCACTGGATAAACAAATATCCTTAGTGATTTAGCGTCGACACGATTCCGATTCATCGCATATTCAAAATTTTCCACTTCAGGAAACGGATTTACACAGTTGCGGATTCGAATGCCGGACTCACTCGGATAAGAGTGGACGGAAGCCGTTTCCGGAAGAGAAAAAGTTGCGTATTGCTACAATCAAACCCGTACCCGCGGGTAGAAGAATGAGCACATTTATTTTAATTAGTACCAAAGAAAGATGTATCTACCGAAGGATTAGCTATAACCGGACAAATAAATATTTGTCATTACCCGAAAAAAAACACACACACACAAACTGTGAATGTGTGTAGAAATTTGAACAGTGGCGGGCATGGAGCGTGTTCTCGCATGTATTCAATGGTCTTGAATAAGATTTTTACGCAGTTTTGCCAACTTTACACGACAAATCGTAAAACAATTTTAAAAAAAATGTAAATCAAGGGTAATGATTAGGTAAGGGTGCAAACCCTTGTTTTTGCCAAATTTTCTGCGGATTCAAATTGAATTGGTCCTGCATGTTATGACAATGGAAACATTGTATCTGTCTCGAAGCCACACATGATGGGGAAAAAGCTGCTGTTGTAACCAAAAAGGGGGGCGGTAATATAAATAGCGCCAGACACGCTAAACGACTCATTCTAGTAGAAGCTGGTCAGACTGTTCATCTAAAATGCCGTAGACATTTGCTTCGATCACAGAAGAAGAATGCCACGTCGGGTAGCAGGGCAACTTGTACTGCTGTTAAAAAGAATGCACCTGTTATCAGCCGACGTTCCGTTACTCCGGCTTTCGACTACCAAGAACAAGAACAAGCTTATAGTGGTGTGTACATGAAAAAATGCTACAAGAATATATTAATACTTTGGTAGTAGAATTGTGATAACTTTTAATTATAGACAAATTACAAGTTTATGAAAAAACCTACCGTGTCAATAAGTGTGAAGAGAGCTTTGTTTTTTCCCTTGTAGTTTTTACCACTTTGAAGGAACGCTCTCATCTGCGCTCTTATCTTGCATTATTTGAACAAGCTTAAGTGGCATCAGTGATTTTTGCAACCAATCAAAGACAGCACAACCATTCTGTTTGTGGTTCTATGCAGGTGTCAGAATTGACCAAGTTGAAATATAATACGAACAGAAATTATTACTCCAAAAGTCCTTTATTCTTCAGTAATTACTGAACATTTTCCCCAGTTCGTTTATTTTTCTGCTGTGAGTACCTAGTCAGAAGCAAAGAAAAAATCAATAAAGTGGCAAACGGAATTCCTACCCAAACTGTTAAATGATACCAATGTACTCTACTTGAAGACAGATGATATGACACTAATCTTCTAATACTAACAACATAATAAATCTAAAAAAGAGTAAATTTATGGTCTTCGAACCAAGACAATAACGTACAAATTGTAATCACATGCACATGATAAGTACTTAGATAATCAACATATTGTTCAAGTAAAGAAGACACATTTTCAAGGAGTAATTTTGGATGAAAACCTAAATTGGAAGTCGGAAATATCACATATTGCAAAACTAGTAATGAAGTTGCGAAGTCAATCTGTACAATATTTAAATGCAGCTTCTTTCTTCGTGAAACTTCTCTATGTATGCTCTACTATTTCTTAATTCATCCTTTTTTTTAGTACTGCAATCCGCGTCCGCCGTCTTGTTATACTGCAAAAGCGCCTTATTAGAATTATTAATAACTCACATTTCAATGCCTATACAGACCCCAACTCGGTATACTAAAATTTAATGATATCTATTTGCTTCAACTGGGCCAATTTATGTATTCTTACAAAAATTCATTCTTACCTCCAAGGTTTAATAACAATTTCTCCCAAAGCAATCAATTCCACTCTTACAATACAAGAAATTCCTAGGCCTACCGTCGGTCTACCCGATTGTCGAAAAACGAAGAAGAAGTTCTCGCCTCTTTTCAACGAACTTGACAACGAGGTCATTAGTCTCAATCCCTTTCCTCCCGTTTAAGACAATACTGAAGACTAGATTATTCTAAGTATGTAAACCGATCTTAAATCTCTCCATCTTCGACTTTACGCCATCTTTTTTTCAATTGATGTAAACAGCTCTAGCCCGTAGTTCGAGGAGGCCTAACCTCTCATAAGCTCCGTTCTGGCTCCGCTCTGGCTCCGCTCTGGCTCCGCTCTGGCTCCGACGTATAGTTTCTGTAAGGTCTCCTCGATCGCCACTTCTTTTTTCTCCTTATCCTATATTATTTGTAATTCATTTTCTATCATTGTATGGCAAATAAAATAATAATAATAATAATAAACAAAAAAGAAAGAAAGCCCGTTGCCAAAGACAAGTATACAACAAGAAGAGAACGCCTTGTTGGTTATGGTCGTGTTAGGGGAGTCAGTCGTGTCAGCGAGAGTCAAGAAATATTTTTTCGCGCTGCGGACAATGAGTAACCCCAAACGTACAAAGTCTTCTCACTAGCTGGAAAAGGAGGAATTGGAAAAAGTCTCTTTTGAGAAATAAAAAGCTGCTTCGAGATTAGCCTGCGAATACAGCCGTTTCTCCTAGCTCCTCGCCGCCAGGGTCGTAGCCTCCCCCGCAGGGTCGACGTTTCACCCGGCCCGGAGGACCAGGGGAGGAATTTGATGTGGGCTTTCCCCAGGCTCTTTCGGTAACAAGGAAGCCTGGGACTATTCATAACTATTGACAACAAAGTTTTTCTTGCTGCTTCGTTGTGTTAGATTTTTTTCCAAAAATCTTTTAATGGAGAAGATTCCCGTTAAATTGTACGTGTATGATATTTCAAGAGGTTTTGCAAAGCAGTTGTCGCCACTCCTGTTAGGTGAGTCTTTTATCCATCAGTGGAAAAGCTGTACATACATTATTCTGATCGATCCGGCTGCATGCTGAGTCATTCGAATGAGGGACTTCTCTTACAAAATGGGATATTATCTTATCAAGAAGTTGATGATTATCTATCCTTATTATACCGACAGGGAAACGAATTGAAGGAGTTTGGTATGTAAATTTAAAGTTTAGTTTCATTTTAGTACCAAAATTAGCAAAATGTTTGAGCTAAATAGTTCAGTGAATAATTATAATATTGTTAGAGAACTGCACGCTCACTTCAACTGGAGACAAAAAAAGTTGTCACATTAGTTACCTTTAACCAATTTACTTGGTATGTGTAGAATTTGAAACCTCGTTCTTGGAAAGCTAGCTCTTATAGAATTATTTAACAAAATATACATTTCTTTAGAGACCATCCTGGTCCTGCTGTCACATGTGTGGACTGGTATAAACAACATAACTTGTATAAGGGCTTCTGATATAACAGTATGCAAAATGTGCAATTTTTCAAACCCCATCCAAATCAATCACAATTGTGTTTCAGTTAAAAATCCAGTTCAAAGGCTCTGCATGCAGAGCGTTTGAGACTTTTCTAACATTCAGATTCTGAATGAAATGGGGGTACTGGTACAGAGAAAATTAATTTCTGATATTGCTTGACAACAGACCCATTTGGGGGAATAAACTGAAGTCTTGAGTCCGCATGATACCCGTATCAGATTGATTGTTCTAAAATGTTGGTGCTTTTATGTAATCTTATTTTAATCAATTAATTAAAGGCACACTGGTATAGTCTGCTTTGGCAGAGAGTACTTTTATGGTGGAGGTGGCATAGAGAGCTGTTTACCAGTAAGTTTGTTTTTATAGTTAGAACTGTGTTTTGTGTTTTACCTTAAACTGCTTAACGAGCTCAGAAGCTAAGACATGCCATAACAATACGGTAATCAAAGTCTTAAGCTGCCGTACATTGATTGACTTAGTCATGTTTTGGCAGGTGTAAGCCATTAGCAGTGATTTTGTTACAAAGCACATATTTAACAAAGACTACCAGGAATAAGCATCATGTCACAACAGCCACAAGAACAGCCACAGAAATCACACAAACAGTATATTCTACGATGACATCTTCATGTCGATCAATTGATCTTTGCATCCTATGGGGCGCATACCACAAATTATTTGCGTCTTTGGGGATTTTTTTGCATCAGGGATGCAGGACGCAGAGGTAACAAAATCACTGCATTAGCATTGCCACTTGATAAATATAGATATAATTGAAATGACTTAACAGCTAAAAAAAAATAAAGTATGCAGCTTTATATCTAGTGAATGTGTATACTTGTATGTGATGCCAGTTGGTATACACTTAACTCATTTGGTTTTTTTTTTTTTTATTACTTTAAAGGGAGAACTTAACAATTTTCAGTCAGTAATGTATAATAATTAACATTATATATAGATACTGATGAAATACCAGGATTTTTCCTGTTACTAAAAAATCATATCTTCATCGCACGCAGTGAAGGTACTATTTTTATCTTTCACTTGTGAGGATATTGGTGTCACCATGGTTACTAACTTTTGGGAACAGAAAATATAAGTATTATTGTCTTTATTAGCCTGCGAATGGCAGACGTTTCCCCCCGCTCATTGCCGCTGAGGGACGTTTCGTGTGAAGGAACGTCTGCGACTCAGCGACAGAAATTCCATACTGATGATAAATCAATGTTTGCTTAATAAATCTGGTAGTCATGGGGTTCCAAATGCAAATTTGCTCCATTTTACGTCTCTCCTAGCTAGCAATAGCTAGAACAATGAAACTACTCTGTCGACCAATTAGCGCTTCTGACCAGATTCCGGACAGATTTTGCGTCATCAGTATGGAATTTCTGTTACTGAGTCACAGACGTTCCTCCTCGCGAAACGTCCCTCAGCGTCGATGAATGAGGAGAAACGTCTGCTGTTCGCAGGCTATGTCTTTATTTCTCCTCTATAACTTTATATCTAAGTTTCATAACATTTTTGTGACAGGCATTTTGTGATAGGTGGCCACTTTAATTGCACTATTTTGCTGTTTCGAAAATGAATAAAAAAAAGTTACGTTTTATGTAGAAATTTCATCAGTATCCATAAAAGTAACAGAACTTACATGGCCGCTTGGGGATATGAATTTTATCTTCTCGTGCTGACAGTATCTCTCGCTCGTTCGCTTCGCTCACTCATGAGAGATACTTTCAGCACTCGAAGATAAAATTTCGTATCCCTGCGCAGCCGTGTAATATCCTCTATTTACACATGTTTTGTTCTAGATGCAGAGCTTGCGTTGTATTCTTCAATAGGCACTTGGAGGAACATTATAAACAAAGTGTTTTGGTTGTTCAACTATTGCATGTGGAAGAAAGTTATCTAATCAATGAACTAATAACACAAAGAATTGTGAACTCCATTAACATTCTAATAATATGAAAGCATTTTGGCAATAAATTAGCTGGAAATTTGACACTAAATGAACTTGCTCAGCCTCTTCAAGTTCAAAACTACTGTTGTTCACGTTTGGTGAATTTTGGGTGTGAGTTTGGCTATATACGGGGCTTCTGATATTTCGCGGAAAAAAAAGCAAAATTTCGCGGGATTTTCAGGGGCAAATTCGCGGAAAAATCGGCCGATTTCGCGGGACTTTCGCGGGAAAAAAGTCAAAATTCGCGGAAAAATAGGCCGATTTCGCAGGATTTTCGCAGGACAAAAGTCAAAATTCGCAGAAAAATCGGCCGATTTCGCGGGAGTTTAGCGGAAAAAAGTCAAATTACGAAGGATTTTCAGGGGCAAATTCTAAGAAAAATCGGCCGATTTCACGGGAAATTTCGGGGGGAAACTTCGCCAAGAAACAATCAGTAAAAAACAGCCGATTTCGCTGAATTTTTGGGGGGCAAATTTAGCTAAAATCGATCAATTTTGCGTCGATATGACCAGCGTTTTTTAACGTTTTTTTAACAGGGATAATCATTTCCTCTTTCCACAACAGTTCGCTCGAGAAATGAGCGAATGCTGAAGCTATTAACATTATGGTTAGTACCCAGCTTTTCGCAACGTTCATCTAAAACCGCCTGGTAGTTTTGGGACGTTGTTTACTCGTTGCAGTGACGAATTGGACGATTGGGGTGAATAAAACAGGTCTAATAGCCAAGGTAAGTATTAAATATGTTTTGCCGACATGTATTTGGAAATATTTCTGGCGGATTTCGCGGTATTTCGCGTTTTTTTGGGAATTTCGCGGGTCCGCGACCGCGCGAAATATCAGAAGCCCTGTATAATATACAACATTGATTTGTCTGTTAGTAAAGAATGGAAGTAAAAGATCTTCCATTTTGCTGACATGGCTAATATGATCCATTAGTTAGCAAACATTATTGTAACTGCATGTTAATTTTTTGAGGGAGGAACTATTCTTGGTAGTCCTGATGAGGTGGTAGATTTGGGAGACACTGAAATCTTTCAAGATGTTTTTGAAGAGTTCTTGAATGGAATTGGGCAACAGGATTTTAGGTAATTTGTTAATCAAGTCTCAATTTAATAACATGAACTGTTCTTTCCAGTCTTGTGAGATATATGGAATTAGCCACTTATACCATAAAATCAAACTATAAGCCCAACTCAATGTACTTTTTTGTGAGGATGTGATAAACAGTAAAAAAAGTTGGTCCAGCAGTTTATCAAGTTTACTACAGGACTGTTACTTGTTTCAAAGTTCAAAGAATACATGGAATCCTTTTTCTGCGTAACAATCTCGAAACCGAAAAATTCAGCTTCAACCCGACCCTTAATGTCTTAGACCTAAGATCTTAGACCTAGAATTTTGGTTGACACAAGCATTACAACTTCACGCCGATTTAAGTGTGTACCCCAAATTTTGGGGTTATCAAGTATTCATATATTCAGGCTATTGTTCTTGCCATTGTCGATTACCTTCCGAAGAATCCACGAGCGGAATTCCTTTGATTTAGGTGCGATATGTCTCTTTTGTTTCGAATTTTGTTGCTTGATTGACTTTTTAATCCCCATTGTTACCTGATGAGTATTAAATTTATCCATTAAAATACTCGGACTTGCCTGTTAAATTTGCTGCGGTCTGTGGGAACGCTTACAAGTCTTTTAAGTGTGGCGGACAACTCTGGTTGCATAACATATTTTCGGTCACGCACCGTATTACAAACGAAACAAGCCTGATAAATTTGAAGTTGATTAAAGCTTATAAATACCTAGTCTCCTATGGTGTTTTTTTTATTAAATACTCCCTTGCCTTGAAAATAATTTGGCGTTTAAAGAATTGCTGCGGAAGGTATTTATTAGAACGTTTTTTTCATTCAGTATTATCAAAACCTGCGCTCTGCAATCAAGAGCGAACAACTCTCTTCAACATGTAAACAACGCAAGCGGTGAATGCATTTAACGGCAGCGCGTGACAGAGATTTATCAGCGCGTAATTTCACTTTTTTGGACGTTTTCGCTTGCCTTTCAGTTTTTTTGTTTAAAAAAACCTTGCGTTTCAGTTACGTGACTGCAGGGCCCGAAATAACCGCGTATTGTCAGTTCACCGATTTGCATGACAACTTGATTCGCGGAGCTAATCGAGTGAGACAGGAAATATCTAAAACTGTAATCGACAGATCAAAACTTGCGGAATTCATAATTCCTCGAAATAATTTCGTAGAAACGCTTGTATAGTTTGATTGCTCTGGAGAAATGAATAACTGTTATGATTGAATGAATGGACAACTCTCGGCCGGCCGGATTTTATTAAGCGATAGGCGAGAAAAAATGCTTCAGCGGCTTGCTTTGTACTTCGAAACCTCGGCAAGAAAAAAAATCCAATCTCGGTCCACAGTGGTCGAAATTTCTCGTTCAAGATCTCTTTTTGAAGCTCTCAAAACTCTCCTTTTTGAAAAATACGTAGCCAAGTCGAAGAAGTTTTGCGAAAGACTTAAATCCATAAACTTTTACTGCGATATGTGCGATAATTCTCTGCAGTTTTATTGACACATTTAGAACAAAAGGATACCTTTAAAACTTCGTGGCCCTGGGCAGCTTAATTAAGCCATTGTTCAATTCCTTTGAATTCGCTTCTGAGTCTTCCGCCATAAAATCTCACCTTCTTTGAACCGAGTCAAAACGAGCACTCCCGAAGGGAAAGTCCGGAGGAATAAACTGAGCCTTCAGGGTACAAAATCCAGCGGTTATGCCCATTTCTGAAATACACACTTAAATCGGCGTGAAGTTGTAATGAAGGTGTCAATTTGAAAGCTGTTAAAATCTGGCATGGCCTCAGGTCACTTAGTCTTAAACTTTCTTGATTTGAAGCTTATAGAGATTGAAAAAAAAAATTAAAACAATGCCAAAATACATCTTAGTTAACATGGCAGATCAGCCACAGTAATGTGTGAAACAGTGTTGCGGTTAACTAATTTCCTTTTCAACCCGCAGACCTGATTTTGCCAGTAAGGAATTTTTCTACTTCCATTTTCTATCAGGGAATGCAGGCTGAACCTTTGGTTTTTAGTTTTCCTGTGATGGAAATTTTTTTTGGGTATTTTTTTTTTGTAAAAAAATGCTGTTAAAAAGTGTAACCACTGATCCATCTTAAAATCCCCTTGATAATCAACAGACCAGAGAAGTACCACTTGTTTGAACACAACTGCAACACATTCTCCGCTGAAGTTGCCATGTTCTTAACAGGCAACAAAATCCCTCAACACATTCAGGATCTTCCATCAGAAGTGCTCAACACGTAAGTTAATTGTTTATTTTCCCCTAAGCATCATGTCAATAAGAGTTAATATATATTATCTTTTTAATAATTACTTGAAAAATTTTGGCAGCTAGTGTCATAGGAAGTTCAATTTCTAATTTCTAGGGTCAAAAAATAGTTATCAGTATTTAAAATAATTTATGTTTAAGTTGATATCAGTTTTATTTTGGAGCAAATTTTTGTGTATTAAATAAATCTTTATAATAATTACAGTCAAGTAACAACAACAAGACTGATTAAAACAATATGCATACCAATGGAGGCTCCATTTTGTTTATATTTCAGTTCATTTGGCCAGATGATAAGACCTATTATTGACTCCATGTCTGTAAGACCGACTGCTGCAAGTGGAACATCATCAGTATCACATTCAAGCTCAGCATCCTCATCATCAACAACAGGACCAGAATCCATATTTGAACCAAGAGATACTTCATCAGCCAATCAGACAGCAACAGGGAGGAGGGGTCAACCAGATGGCTGGTCAGTCTGTTTTAAATGAGCTTATTTTGGAACCTCAATATAACGAAGGGCTAAGGGACTGGCAAAATTGGCTCACAAAAATGAACTTTCATTATGTTGGGGTTTGTTTCTTGTATTTTACTATTACTGGGGTGAAGAATATCGTTCAACAACAACATTTTTCTACAATGACAATCCCTGACTTTTCTTGTGCTTTACATTTTTCAGTGTGGTGCAAAAAGGTGAAGGGGAACGGAGAGAGAGAATAATACGAATACTCCTACATTTGTCCCTTCCTCTTATTTCCCACCCCTTTCGAAGCGACGTGCCACAGAGATTAGCTGTTGCTTTCATTCTTACTTATTCTTACTGGCACACAGGCCGCTATTGTCGATCCGTAAAGTTTAATAATGGAACTTTTTATGAAAGCCTTTCTTGCTGGTCAGATGTGTGTGTAAAAATGTCCACTGTCTTTTATACTAACCTATGTCCTTGTTTAGTGTTCTAATTTAAGAAATTTTGTCTGGACAAAGAGGATTCTCCTTCATAGGCAGGTGTCTGGGTGTAGAATATTGTTCATGAAATTGAAAAAAAAGACGATGTTGGCTTTTCGAGAGCATGACTTGCTGAAAACATAAATAAATGGGTTGAGGGGATGGCTGTGAGGGAGGGGTTAAAATTGTTGATTCAGTTGGTCAGGGAAATTTACATTTTCAAGAAAACGTCCATAGGGAAAGTCAGAGAGTTTCAGAAACCCCTGGCTGAGGCAACCATGTGTTAAGAGGGAGTTGCCTATATCTGGAATAAGCCTGAATTCTTAGTTCTGTATACATGTTTTACTTTCTTAAACAAGGCGAACTTTTTTTTCAATTGACAGTCAAAGCTCAGTGCTGAGAAAGGCCAACACATACAACCAAGTTGATGTAAGTCTGAAAATTTATAAAATAAACCTTGGAAATCAGTATTTTCTTACGGCCTTGTAGTGTCTTGTGAATTTAACGTTTTACATTCCTTTAAATCTTATTTAGACGGCCTCAGATGTAGCTCAGCTGAAAGACATTCTTACAGACACAAAAGAATTTTCAGATGAGGAGTTAAGTCATCTTGATGAATTAAAAGACTGCCTACATAACAAAAACCTGATAGGAGTACAAGAGAGGCAAATTCAAATTCTTGGTAAGTTCGGTTGTACTTTGCTTTAACACTGTGCCTTATTTTTCTTATATTTTTGTCTCCCGTCACCTCCCTTGTTAGATAAAAGTTACCTTCGTCGTGAATTGCAGGGCCGTAGGATTAGTGGGGGGCGAGTAGGCCCGTGCCCCCCCCCCCCCCACTTTTTTGGGGGAATGGAAAAAAAAAGAAGACTGCAACTTTACCTTCGAAAATACTGATTTAATAACACAACGCAATAATTCCCGTTCGATTTTACAAAATATGTTGTTACGGCTAATTTTTAAACCTCTCAAGTCCGTTTTAATCCCTGTAATGCTAGAAAAGCACAGATGGAGGACAACCTGACGCACATTTTTCCCGAACTAAACAAGACTATAAAAGATGTGTATATATTTTGAAGCCTTGGACTTGCTAGTGAACGGGATGTAGTCTAGATTGATTAGATTGATCAACCAGGTTATAAAATTCCTGGAGCGTATTGTCCATATACGCACATCCGGAAAATGATTTTTTTATATACACTGATTTCCCGCAAGCATTTTTATCATTAAACAATGGTGACTGATTTTTGATTTCGCATTATATGATCTTATATTGGTGACTTTTGCCCGTCTGAAGGGTAAACGTCTCGCCCTTTATAGCCAGCGAATTACTACGCAGTAGAGACGAGAAGAGACGACTGTCATATAGGTTCTCTCGCCCTTTGTAATTTCCTTGATGGCGTCACTGTTTTACCTTTTTCCGCAAACACTGTACCTTAACGACAATACTAGATATGGGTAAAATTTATTCTAACCATTTGCATTTTCTTTCGTATTGAGTAAAATTTCCTGTGGATAACGCAGAAAATGGCATTTCCGAGCCCCTAAATTTAAAACTTTTCTGGGGGGAGCATGCCCCAGACGATGATCCCCCCTACTTTGGAGCGCCTTCGGCCTTCTAACTTTTTTTCCCTAACGTACACCTTCAAAATCTCAAGCTACGCCCCTGAAATCTATACGAATCTGGAAAACTTGCTTCTCACAACAGTTGCAGGAGGCGATTTCTCAAGTGAGCATTATCAACCTGGAACTGTTATGGTTCAGATATAAAATTGGAACGTCTTGAAACGCAGCTTACTATTTTGAAAATACATGCTCAAGAAAGTTCCATAGCCTCTGTGTCATCCATAATAGAATTTCGTAATGCAAATGGACCTGCTTCATTCAGTGAGACTGCAACAGGTTTAGTGAAACTGACATTACTTAGGCCTGCCACAAATGCTTTGAGAAAAAGGTCTTTCAGTGCCACAACAGTCGTGCCTACCCATTTTCAAATTCGTTCCTACAGGCCTGATATTGAAAGATTTTAGTTACTCAATCTGTTTGCCCGATCATCATCATCATCATCATCATCATCGTCGTCGTCGTCGTCGTCATCATCATCATAGCTATTCTTGTCAGAGGGCGCCTAATTATAAGGCCGCCACCTGCCCCTTGCAATAGTTACCTGTCATTCATCGAGAACCTACTCTCCTCAGCAACGATCAAACTGTTTGCTAAAAGGGATGATGAAATGTCAGGCTTTAATAGAAAAGTTTATATTGATCCTTAAATTGTTTTACAGATAAGGTGGTTGACAAGTATTTAACGCAAGAGAAGTATTGCTCCGCTGTTCAGCTTAGTGTGAAATTTCTTCAAGTGTTGTCATTAAATGATCAGTTATTTTCTGATTCTAAAGGTGAGCTTTAAATTTTGTGTACTGTTAAAAAAGACTTGAACACAAGGTACAACCTTATAATTATACTCGCATCACTACATTTTCTGCTGGCAAAACAAGATTTTTTTTAGTGAGTCTAGTGCCTAGACTAAATATCATCATGTTGCCAGTGTTCGACATTTTTAATTATACTGAAGAGGGAAAATAAATGCAAAAACATCGGACGTTATCTTTATTTAACTAAAGCTGGATACTGTAAATTCAAAATTCAATGCATCACTGTGTATTGTTTCAAACAGGTCTACAGGAAACTGTGAATATGACCTGCAGACAATTTTCAGACATAAATTCCTCTTCAAGTCAAGTTGAATGTGTGAAGCTGGTAAGTGACTTACGAAGTTCTGCTTGCCCAGCAGGCCAGCTACCAGAGATGATTTTGCTAAGTGATTATGTTCACTTCTGGAGAATTTTAAAAAAGCATGCTCGAGGTTTATACTTGTACCTATTTTGTTATTACCTTAAAACAAGGAGAAAGCATCATATTAGTAACTTCAATTTGGCTTTTGCAAACAAACTTCAATTTGCCAATGATCCTTTCTTTCTGTTCGGAAGTCATTGACTAATGTTTGAGTGCGAGATAACTCCTAGTGGCTACAGTGGCTGTACGTTTTTGATGGGGTCGTTACTGCCCTCTGATTCACTTAGATCTAAAGCGGACATCTTAGCTCTGTAGATGCAATGTTAAATGCGTCATTTGTCTCATCAGCACTGCCACTTAGATACTGAGGATGAACTATTGTTATATTAGGCTCTTTTTATTTTCATTGCCATTGCGTTAGCAGGACAATTGTATGATCATGACGTCTTTTTACCAAAACTACTAGAGTTCTTCAGTTTTTTGTTTTCTTGTGAAAATTATGGTTATTGTTTTTCAAACCTCAGGTCAGGGTTTGACAAATTTAAAAGCGAAAACGAAACGCATTCTGGTAATTGTAGTCAAATGTCGTCATCGTGAAGATGGCCTCAGACTGAAACGTTTTTTCCAATTCCCTTATCAGTCATATTTTGTGTTGTAGTATTGTTGTGTTACCAGCCATCAGACAGGTCATTCAGTCATGTTTAAAGACACTCGCTTTACTCCCCTTGCTGCTGTCACTGTGAACTGCCTTCTGAGCAAAAATGAAGATCTCACTACCGTAGGCGCTGCATTGGCTTCAAATATTGCTCGATTTAAGGTAACTTGTATGTTCTCAACCATTCACAGTGCGCGAGAACACATACTTTGACAAGACTTATTCAGACACGTTAAAAAGACCCATGAGATTTTTCGTTTATTGGTGACTTATAGTCTTCCAGTAGCGTTAATTTCTTCATTGGATTATCAAAACGTTTGGATTTGAAATTTACACCATCCTTTCAGAGGATACAAATAATAAGAAAGTTTCTAAGCATAACAAAATTAGAGAATGAAGGACAGCTATCCTGCGAGCAAGCTCTCCTATTTAAGCGAGCGAAGCGAGCCGCGCGAGAACGCGTGAGAACGCGCGAGCGAGCCGCGAGCGGCCGAGGGAAGGAGAGCCTCCAATGATCTCTCATTATAAATTTTCAATTGTTACTTCGCCCAGACGAAGGGAAATACCATTGGCTGAAAAATGACGTTCCGGAAATCAAAGTTGACTGATAACAGGCATAGCTGGCCTACTCTAAATTTTCGCGGCAAATGTAGAAACACGATGCTGTTTTCGCCAAAACCCGTGTTATGTCGGCGATCGCTGAACTCACTCCGCAAAAGGAGACCGGCAGAGGAAGAAGATCGCTTTCTCCTTCTATGAGAGTTAACTGTCGTCTGTGTGTCAAATTTGGTCCTCAGGGGGATCATACTGGAACCGAGAGCTCGTTTCAGCTCTCAAAACAGGCGGGTTCGTTTGATGTACTTCTCGCAAAGCTGTACGTGTGAAAGTGTTGGATTGCCAATAGAATATTGCGAGCCGAGGATAAGTCTGACTGAGTTTGTAGTTCTTGTGGAAGGAAAATCAGAGCCCTTCATCAGTTGTATCCCCCAAATGGAGAGCTTGCTCGCAGGCTAAAGACAGCAAGTCATGGACCCACCAAATGAATGTCTTTATCCCCTCTCGAGAACAGTAAACAATTATGAACATACACTGTAGTGGTAAATAAATATATTGATTTATTCAGGTACACGAAGAAATTGCCCTTGAGTGTTCGACAGCTGTTATTGAAGTTTTGAGCAAGGATTTGTCACCAGAAACAGGTCTGTCTTCCACACGGTATTCTGCTCGCTTTTAAAGTGTCCTGCCCTGCATGTGGGCTGTTGTGTTGAGATCTCGCGCGGTTCCAACCCATGGTAATTCTGGGTGAGGATCAGTGTAGCCTCCCACGTAGGCGTTTTTAGGGGAGCTAGGATTAGAGAAGAAGAAGACTTTCTTTCCAATTTGAAGTTTTAAAGTTCCGAATACGTTCTCTGCCTACCATAAGAAAGTTCAAACTTTCGATTTCATAAAAAAGAAATCCGTCTAAGGCGGGCGGTTATTCGGAGGAGGCGATTAATCGAGGGACGGCTATTATTCGAGGAAATATGGACAAATGGCTAGTTAATATTAGAAAGTCTGTTTATAAATTAATTTTTTCTTACCCTCATAGGCGTCTAAAGGTCGTTTTCTTCTCAAGACGTGAACTCATTTATCTTTTGTTTCATTGTTGTCAGGTCATAACTGCCTTTACGCATTGAGAAGATTTATAGACTGCAGTTCTGAGGTAGTGTAATGTTCTTGTCTAAATTCTGTCACAAAACTTTAAACACTTTGATTTAATTTGACGGGTTAGTTTGGCGCTGATTTTTCTCGATAAAGTTCAAGGCACACGCACTTTCTCAAAACGCCAACATGCCATCTGATTACAGTTGAAACTCTACTGGCGAGACCAGCTCCCTTAAACTGCCTCCTTTCCAATTCACAATTTTTATGTGATTGCTTACCTTTTCTCTCTTATTTAATATCCACATTGTTTGTTTGTTAAGCCGTCATTCAGCATCATTCGTATCATGCCCTAGTAGTATCTACAGACTCATCTGCAAAGCAGTAGCTTAACTTTTAAAGGCAGGATCCGGTTACTTGGATAAATATTTACAAAATAAAACCCGATTATCGATGCGACAGACAACTGCAATATTTTTTTGTTTGATTCAGGTGGCAGGTCTTGCAAGTGTCTTGGGACTCAGTGTGGAGAAGTTTAAAGGAAGTAGTCCTGAAATGGATGATCTTTGTAAAGACTTGGAGAAACTTCTCAGCTGACGAACACTCTTGGGCTCTCATGAGTCAGTCAACATATGTTGATTCAAAAGCTGCTGTTTGGAACACCAGACTTTTATCAGAGCGGATTACGGGTTATTGGTTCATGTAGACAATTTGGAAGCCGAAGAAATTTTTGGCAAAACTTCATCTCTAAACTCGGTGCTGTAAATTCCAATGGAAACAAAGGGATATATAACCCACATACAATCGCGATGCATTGATTTACACGGCTCTGACAAACGGCTAGTGCTCGAGTCGCGGCCAGTTTTTGAATCTCCTTTGGAAAAGAAAATGTTAATTTTTGTTTATAATGGAAGTCGTTGAGCGTTAGTGCTTTGACGTGTTTACAGGCATTAAAATCAAATAACCACAAGCAAATAATTCAAGTATAACGTAACATGGTTTACGCTTCAAAACAGAAGGCAAACTGTTAGGTGACTGTTGGTCATTTACAAACATGGCCAAGAACTTGAAATCGTTACGACCGCCAAACAAATCCGCTCCTTCTCCCAGGTGATTATTACCTCATAGAAGGTCTTACTGCAAAACGTTCTTCGTTAGTTTTTGCCCCAACAGAACGTGAATAAAACTGAAAGGAACTGCAAATAAATGAACTCTTGGATTGAAAGAGGGTTTCGAACATTCTTGCGTAACCTGCTGTAATTAGTCTCGCTTGCGTAAGCAGCGAGACCGTTTTTCGCCCCCGGGGGAACTCCCTTATACAGTGGAACCTCGATATAACGAACCTTTATATAACGAAGTCCTCGGTATAACGAACGATTTTCTTTACCCCAGTGATAGTAAAATATATGAAAAAGAACCTCGATATAACGAACCTTTATATAACGGAGTCCTCGGTATAACGAACGATTTTCTTTACCCCAGTGATAGTAAATTATATGAAAAAGAACCTCGATATAACGAACCTTTATATAACGGAGTCCTCGGTATAACGAACGATTTTCTTTACCCCAGTGATAGTAAATTATATGAAAAAGAACCTCGATATAACGAACCTTTATATAACGGAGTCCTCGGTATGACGAACGATTTTCTTTACCCAAGTGAGAGTAAAATATATGAAAAAGAACCTCGATATAACGAACCTTTATATAACGGAGTCCTCGGTATAACGAACGATTTTCTTTACCCCAGTGATAGTAAAATATATGAAAAAGAACCTCGATATAACGAACCTTTATATAACGGAGTCCTCGGTATAACGAACGATTTTCTTTACCCCAGTGATAGTAAATTATATGAAAAAGAACCTCGATATAACGAAACCTTGTTATAGCGAACAAATTTTCCCTTGGCCCATCGTTATATCGAGGTTCCACTGTTTAGGCTTTATAGGTATGTGCCGCGCCAAAGGTATGGTTTTTTTTAGCCGTTTTGGTGTGAAATGGGTATCAATTTCGACCATTTTGGTCTGAAATAGGGTATGGTTTGTGCACTCTAGTCTTGAATTGGGTATGTTTTTTAGAAGAAACTACTTACGCCAACCGTGTACGTGCCGTAACAGCTTGCCACGCGTTCCGGTCACGGGCCGGGCTCCAGGGTTTCAGGTCTTAAATAGGGTATCAAATTTTTTATCAGGTCTGAAATAGGGTAGGGAAAATCACAGATTTTGGTCTGAGGTAGGTTAAGGGTTTCAGGAAGCGTGCCGCACACCCCCACCCAATTTTTCTGGAAGTACCCTCCGGGATTTTTCGTCGTATTTTATACACAAATGGGGTTGGGGGCATTATGGCAGGGGTTAGTTACGGAGACCGTGGAAACTGGGACTAAGAATCATTACCGGATCGAATCCACGCATGTTTTGCGAAGAAAGCGTAGGAAAGATCAAATTTAGAGCTTTTCCAAAAGGTGTCGGTCCACGAATTCTGTCGCTTGAAAGCGTTGATTACTTTGGAACAAGTGAACACTACTGAGTGGTAGAAAAAAAAAATAAGAATCTTAATTAGGAAAACTGCGATGGTCGGGTGTTGTAAACTTTCATTGTATGCAAATGGTCTTGTAATGAGCATGCAATTTATTTTCGGCGATGATTGAAATAACGTGCCATGTGAATCACTTTTTTTATCTCTGGCAATGATGTAACTTCTCTAGAATCGAGGCCCTTGAATTTTATCTCTGGCAATGATGTAACTTCTCTAGAATCGAGGCCCTTGAATTTTCGTGTGTTTATACACGTGTGTAGCCTGCGACCGCAGACGTATTTCCGGTCGTCGCTAACACGCGTGCTAAATCAATTCAGAAACAAGTAAAAAGTATCGACGTCGATAAAGTAGGAAGTAAAAAACCTTTAGCGAATATATAAATCCTGTTTCATGTAAAATTAATCGCCTCCTCATTTTTCGATCTAATCTCCAAGCAAGCGAGAGTGAATGCCGCTGTAAGCGCGTTCTTGTTCGCACAGGCTAAATATTGTCACACCACATATAGCATTTTAAATGTTTAGTTTTGTTGTTAAAAGCATTGCAGAACATTAAGAATAGCTACAAATAGTATATTTTATCGTCTTTGCTTCGATTTTCGTATATTTACACTAACTAATTTACACTTGTAATAGTCACGTTGGTAAACCTTCACTCTTGTTTACGTCTCTCTCTAAACCTGCGCTGTAGGAGAGAGAGAGAGAGAGAGAAATATACAATGTAAAGCTGCTACAAAAACAAAACCTTTAAAGTACGTCAAATTACACTGATTAATTTTTACTTTCTCTTGAAGCTTTACGGCTTGATGTATATTTTTAATTTCTTGAAAGTCCTCTTATTTCTTGGTGCACAAAAACCGGAGACTGGGGATGGCCCAAGTAAAGAAATAATATGTGGCGGCAGGGTTTTTCAAAATTCTAACGACCCTTACGCAATCTTTTTACAAAAAGGGACTGGTATTCCGCAAAATGGGAGCTACATTCTAAAGAAAGTTCTTTCCAGGTTTTCGTTGGCCACATTTTCTTCAAATTCAAACCATATTAAAATCAACTTGCCTAGCGACAAGACGAAAAATGCAATATATGAACTCGGCCACGCCCTTGAGTAGTAATGCGATGTACACATGTTTTTACGTGGCTTATCACACGTAACTTTGCATTTGGTAGTTCCTGTTCTTGTCGTCTTCTTTTGGCGTTCCTTGAAGTTTGATTTCTTCGTGTCCTTTCTTTGCGGCACTAAACGTTGGAGACGCCCACCGAGTATCGCCGGGTTTGACTAGTTTGTTAGCCGCTTGTTTTTCCAGTTTTTGACCCGGTTTGGGTGAGACACTAGCAGTTCCCTTTGGTTTCGATTTAGAGCTCTTCGCTCTTTTAGATTCTGATTTGTGGGGAGGCTTTTTGAAGAAATATTTCCTGCTTTCCTCCTCATCATCGCTACTTGAGAGTGGCGAGAATGAACGCTGTTCGGGGTGCCCTTCAACAGGCGTGAAAACTTTACTTGGTTCACGGTCAACTTCCATGTTGCTCTCATACAAGTCGCTATCTTCGCTCATAACGTATATTGGTGCCCGTGGCGAGATATTTCCATCATATCGACTCATATCTGGTTTCTCTTTCTCTGGGCTTGACAGCGATGAACTGTCGATTTTCTCCGAGCTTCTAACGATCTTGTTGAGATCACTCGGCTGGCTAGCGATTGGCGGAAGTCGAATTGAAGCAAGACTTGGATTTGGACTTCGATCAGTATGCACATGGTCAACTGGTGAAAGCCGCTGCCGTGAGTTAGCGCTTGCGCGCATTGGATAATCTGTGTGTTCAATAGAACTTAAACTGCTATTAGAGTCATTATTCTTGGGATTCACAAATCCAACCACGGGAATGATCATTGTGTTATTGTTTGATTTGTAGTCAGGAACGCTTTCATGTTGTTTTGAAAAATAATTTCCATCAATATTGTTCTCCTGAGGAGAGTCTGGATCTGTCTGCATTGCCAAAACATCGTCTTCACCTTCTCTTGATGAGTTAATAGAACTTTCTTCTCTTGCTTCTTCCAAGTGCTTCATAAGAACAGCTACCACGACATTAAGGAGTACAAACTGTGTTGCAAGAACGAAGATTGCAAAGTATATGGGTGCAATGTGCTCAAGGGCAGAGCAGCCTGAGAATGGACGTTCGTCACATCTATTTTCGTTAATGGTATCCTGTAGAAATAATAAACGAAAAAATCGTTAAGCCATTCCTCAGAAATGAGTTTCTTACTCTAGACTACCTTGCTCCTAGTTTACTTGACGAGTTTATTTTTTGATCTTTGAAGAGAAGTTTTGTATCTGTCATCAATGACTATTATTTTTACCAAACCTAAATTAACAGCTTACTATAAAAGCTTCAACAACAAGAACTACAATAATGAACGTCATTACTGTCATTACATTTGTCACCGGAACACAACAATATTTGTACTGGCCAATCTGTGTTATTGTGTAGGACAGTAATGCTTCATCTGTACTGTTGAGGTCGTTTTAATTCAGTCTCAACCTACTGTTAGTAGCCTATTTTGTAAAACAATATTCAGAGAATTGCAGTACCTTGAGAATCCCATTCCAGTTATCGCCAGTTGACACACGGAACAATGTCAGCATGGCGAATCCAAAATTCTTGAAATTGGCGTGCGTGTCCAGTCCCTCACAAGGTACAATGTCCGTGCATTCTTGAATGAAAAAGGAAATTGCGAGGTTTTATGTTAAGAGGTATTTAAAATGTAAGTCGAAAGTTTGTATTACAAGGGGTGGTCCGGGCTGCGAATTGATTCCCCTAAATGCACGCATGAGATCAGAGAGGGTTTCACTAAATTAAAGGGCACTTGTTACAATGCCAGCGGTGTCGATGTTGACGATTATGATGACATGCACCACTTATTTTCAGATTTATAACTTACCTATTTTACCAAACAGTTCCATTCCCAAGGCGGCGAAAATGAAAAACATGAGTAGGAACAGAAGGCCCAAGTTTCCAACCTATATGGCAAACAAGAAGAACAGAGGGAAGACAAAAAATAGAAAAATGGTCAAACTTTTAAAGAAAATGATGATGGGATGGTATTGGTGTTGGTGGTGGTGATGGTGATGATGATGAAACTTGTGATGATGGTACTGCTAGTGTTAGTCATGATGATGATAGTGGTGGTGGTGGCGGAGGTGATGATGATAATGATGATGATGATTATGACGATGATGATGGTGGTGGTGGAGAAAGCAGTTTTCACTTACTTGGGGCAGAGCTTCAGCAACTGTGTCAAGCAGCTTCCGGATACCTTCTGCAGTCTTCAGCAGTTTCAAAACTATAAGAAAAGCATTTATTATTATTATTATTACTCCTTGATTTTAAAATACCGGTTGAACTTAAAATTTAGGGAAGCGGACATTAAAAGCAGCATTCTGCACAGAAGGTGAACAAATAAAAGGGAAATTTCAAATTCACCCTCAACGCGAATGGAGACCAGGATTTATTCTGCGCCCTACTGGTTGTAGCCAAAAAATGATTAGGTACGCTTCACACTTAAGCTCTGAAGGTTGTTTAATTCCCACACGTATATAATTGTAAATGTAAACCGGATTGCAGAACAACAGTACATGTCCTCTTTACACAATATATGAACAGAACTCTCGGACGGAAACCTTTTTGAACAGTATTGTGGGTTCTTTTATGTTTTCCCATCGAATTAACAAATAAAGAAGGATGAGAGCGACAAGGTTAACGACATAACCTCACCGCTCGGTGACCTTAATCAGTCCGGAGAAATGCTGTTAAACACAGCCAACATGATCTTAATCAGTTTGGTTGATGGCCCTGCTCGCAGGAGTTTAAACCCGAGCCCGATACTCCGTAAAACGGTGCACTTCAAAAGAGCTAACCGGGCGGCAGTGCCGGCCGATAATAGGATCTTAACTACGTAGACCTTTTATTTTGTAATAGAAATATAGTCTCAACTTTTGGCTAAATGAGTTATTTTAGTTTTTAATTTGCCCACATTAAGGCAAGGATGTACGGAAATTCTATGTTGTTCAATTGTATGCCTCTAACCAAGGCTTTTCCCTTTTCTCTAACTGTGTTCGACGGCGCGTGGGTTTACGCGTGGTGTTTTGCCAAAGGATGCATTCCAACCGGCGATCCTTTCCATGATGTACCGCGCATTTCGTCATTTTCATTTTCTCATGATAGTGGTAGCCCTGGAGACGAGGCAGCGGTGTTTTTGTTGTTGTTTGGTTGGTTTGTTTTAATCTTTTAATAGAAAGGAGTCTGTACAAAGTGAAGTATTCCTACCCACCTCGAGCTATTCTAAGCACTCGCATTACTCGGATGATGGTTGGGTTTATTGGCAGCTCCGAGTTCATTTCTTCCAGGACGATCCCGACAATTGAAAGCAGGATAATCAGCAGGTCAAGCTGGTTCCACCTGTAAACAAAAACATTGATGATTACTGGAAAATTTTTCCCATTTTCAGACGGGGAAGTAATATGATACAATGGCTCGTCAATATCTATGCCATAGAGCCTATACACATGACGTCTCGTGGGGCACTTTGAAATGCTAAAAGGGACCAAACGGAGGCAGTTTAGTTGAACCCAGGCAATAACATGGGAGAAAAATTTGTTTGTTGTAATAAACTGACAGAGACTTCTTAAAGGAGTAAAAACGCTATTGATACGTGATTGGCTAAAATCATTATGAACAATCAGAAGTGATGGAGCAAAAAGAGTTTACTTGCTTTCACCGACTACTGACACCTGTTACCCATACTTTCTGACATCTGGTGTTTTATCTGTTGTATTTGACCACAGCAATCCTTCCGTTTTTTTTAGCCCTCAATTTGAAACTGCTCTCATTAACAAAAACAACAAAAACACAGCACGGTTAAAAAAATACTGCTCATCAAGCAAGTTAAGCAGTAACTCTAACTTATATATGCAGCAGACTGGCCTTGCGGTAAGAGCGATGGGTTTAAAATCTGCAGTTTCTGAGTTCAAGTTCCATCCTGTCCACTAGCTGGATTTGGTCACGTTAGTCATAAATTCAAACCCTCGGACACGCTTGTAAATAGCCAACTGTTTTGCAGCCGACTAGTTGGAGATGTTTTTCTTGCCATGTTTGATGCATTTGTTTCAGTCATTATCTCGGTTTCTTTAGCCTTTGGGTTATGAATAATACCCATTTTACCAAAAAAGGCTATATTTCTAGTCCTCATCAGTGTACCTTTCTTTTATGTATTTCCTGAATCCTAGTGCATAAATTTTCAAAACTCCTTCCAATATGAAGACAGCCGTGAAGACGTAATTCGCATACTTCAGAAACTCGTCCAGTTCCTACATTGAAAGTCAAAATTGGAAACGCTTAGAACGCTGGCGTAAAAATGGGCTGGAAGACTTCAAATCAAGGAAAGAACGGTTTTTAGAAGTCTAGTAAAAGAACTACTGGTGACCGGGGTCTTGGCAAAGGAAGTTAGGAAGAATCGGTTCGGCATGAATCGTGCGCTAGTGCCAAACGATTATCAACCTCGTGACCTTCACTCAGAGTAGAAGCAGAGCAATTGAGACAGAGAGGTCCTGACCACAATGCTAGCATTTTGTGTAAAGTATAAGAAAACAAGCATTTTTCATCCATTTGCTTAAAAGGAATAACGGAATTGCTGCCACTAACATGATGTAATTGTAGTATACATCTATACAAAAAGTGGACTGAGAACATGCTGGAAAGGCACTATCATTGCAAAATCCAAGACAACCCCTGAGCAGCAATGCGTTCCGGTTCCGGAGCCAGGCCGGTACATCCAGTTTATTACAACTAGGACGTAACTAGGAATTCTAAAAGAGAGACTTAAAGAGAGACTTGTGGTGTAGGTAGGATAATGTGGCTCACCTTAGGCTGTTCATAATGCTCTATTGCCATACAAATAACGTTAAGGACAATAACAGCAGATATTCCAATATCAAAGTAGCCATGTGTACAGATTCGGTGGAAAAAACGACGAGGTTGAGGGAATTCTTCGGCCTCTTCTCCTTCATACTCTACAGATAGCAAGAATAGAAGTGGTAAGAAAGATGAACATATCGTTTTGTCTTCCTTTCTTAGTTCATAAGAAGACTGGAAAGCGTTTCCTACACAGGAAGGCTGGTCTGTTAAATAAGACCATTTTAAGGTATCACATACGGGAAAAAACGGCAAGAACCAGCTCTAAGTGATTCTTTTGAGGGAGTTGCTAGTTAAGAGAAAGTCGTCGTGTACGATATAAGTAGCCTGCAGGGTATTATTAACTTACCTGACTGGAAGCGTTTTTCACGCTCCTTCTCTTTCTCTGCCATGCGATCCTTCTCGATAATGTCGCGACACTTTTGGAAATTCTCCACAACCACACCAACCAACATGTTCAGCACCACAAACCCAGCCAGAAGAAGAAACGCCACAAAGAACAGAACATTCCATTTGTTGTGATTTTTTATCGGCTGAAAAATAGAAAAAGAGGGGCTGACGTGTTGTTCGTTTGATTCAGTACCAATTAAGTTTAAGTGAGTAAAGTAAGTTAATGTATTTCGGTGTTAAAATGATCGTGCTTCAATGCGTGCGAAAGGGTCAAACGTAATCTCCTACCCAGATCTCTTGTTGACAAGGCCGAAGGCGAGATCTGGACAAATTCGTTTTGTACACGTGATCGCCTGTCAGGAATGTGACAGCCGACGAAAGAACGCATGCTAGGAATAAATCCTCAATTTCAGAAGTGCAAAACAACGAAGATAACATGTTATTTTCACATGTGAAGATATCAAGTTTTCGCGCAAAAGCTCACCTGGTATTTCATTGGTGTTTATATAATAAATATATGTATTTTTTAGTCTTTTCAAAAAGCTTAACTTTGATACCGAGAGAGTTTTAACTACTTCTTCTGCAAAAATATTTATTTGAACAAAACTGAAGACTTGGCAAAGAATGAAATGCACACACTAGAGCGCGCACAGGAGACAACACTTACGCCATTCGCTCACTGTCTAGCCAATCAAAAACATTGAATTTTCTTAGTTGACATGGTCTCGCCTTCGGCTTCGTTTAAAAGAGGTCTGGGTACTAGATTAGGTCAAACGAATAGGTCGCCTGACATAACTAAGTTGTATGTTCAGCTATTTACATAATCACCTCTTGTTAAACAGTAGCTAACAAGTCTAAACAGAAAGTTTACTTTTTAATTCCATTCATAACCGTAGATGATATAAGTCGTCAATAGTTTCGCAAAGCAAAAATGTGAAGATACCTGCTTGTCAATGTCCACGGCATCTATCCCATCATACATTATTGTTACCCAACCATCTTTTGTAGAGAAGACGAACAGTGTTAACAGCGCCTGGGTGAATAAATGATCACACAGTGAGGTTGATGAATGAATAAATAACGACGTGATTTTGAATAGCTAAAACCTCATTACTCAATCTCGTTCCAGGACCTTTGCGCAAAGATCCACTTAACTGTCAACATTCATGAAGATAATAAATTTTTTCTGTGTATATTTTTTTGTCATTGTGTTGCTTGAATTCTTCTTTAGTTCAATTCTTGCCTGCGAAGCATGCGCTTGGTACCACACATGCAAAAAACAAGAATGTGCTGTAATAAGGTTGGATTACTGAATTATTTTGCTCTTCCAGTCTAGAAAATACTTTGAGCGGCCATTAGAGACGCCAACAAAGTCCGGCTCACCTTCGCCAAGTTATCGAAGTTGTATTCCTTGTTTTCCCAGGTCTTATTAATCGCTAGACAGTGTGCTCTAGTTTCCACCTCGGGGTAGGAAGCGTCCTTGCAATGATAGAACTTTCCCTTAAACAACTGGAAAGAGAGGTTGAAAATACAACATCAATTCAGCTGCAAATAAATGACAGCAACTTATTAGCGTTTACATTAGAATTAGACTAATATACCTGTACACCGAGGATTCCAAAAATGATGAAAAATGTCGCAGCGATGAGTACGATGTTCCCAATCGGCTTAAGTGACGATATTAAAGTCTCTACCACAATCTTCAGACCAGGAGCTCGGCTGATTACCCTGAAATAGGACCAAAACAAATTTTTATATTACTAAGCAGAGGATTAACAATAGTCTGGGATCAGAGGTTTGTGCGTGTCCCCTGACTGTGTTTTTCCTCCAATGATCTTCTCGTTATCAATTTATTTTTTCTTTCATTCTGCAGTTGAGTACAGTTTAACCAAAAGATGGTGATTATCCTCGCTTGCACAGGCCCCTGATATTGTTTGATATTCTCTAAAACTTATCAAAGTTTAATTAAGAGCAGTTATTTCATTCTGTTATAAATCTACCTCAATGGTCTCAATGTTCGTAAGGCTCGAAACACCCGTAATACTCCTAGGATGGAGTTTTCAGAGTCTGTTGTCAGGTCAACAATGACGTCTATCCAAGAGACAACAACCAAAAAGCCATCCATTACATTCCAGGCACTGCGTAGGTATGCATTAGGCCCAAACCAAAGGCCAAGAGCGACGATCTAGGAAGAGCAGGGCAAAAAAGACATATATATCGATTTCATTTTTTCACCTTTATCCAAGAGAAATTTACTTTACTCAGGAGGGAAGAAAAGAACATCGCAAGACAAACTTCCACGGTACGACTTGAACTGTGAGGCTCTCATTCTTTGAGTGCTAGTTGCAGCGTGCATGGAAAAAGTGACCGTTGAGTCGGCTTATAATATTAGTATGGTACAAAGTGGATGGAAAGCAGATTTGGCTTTACTGGGGCCTACTGAAAAATCTTATTGGAGGCTTATCCTAATCAGACCTACTAGATCTGTCTAATTACAGACTTTGAAACATATTATGTTTTATATTTACCTTCACGAACATTTCTATGGTAAAAATCGCCAAAAAGATGTACATGCAGATGTCGATAACTTTCTTTTGCTGCAAAAAATGGAGAAAATTAAAGAAAGTGTAACATAAATACAGTGGAGAAAGTACAAGAAAGGATAGGCGTCTCTCATGGTTTTTTAAAGCTTCAACTCTACAAGTGTACCCTTTGCAGGAACCGGACACCCACGATTGGCACCTGGAAAATGTTTCTTGGAAATTAAAATTTCCACCAATTTATTTGCGTTACAATGAAAACGTGACTTCATATCTTGGAAACTTGAAAATTTCACTAGAAAGAGAGTCAAAGGCCTGTACTTATTAAGTGAGATTTTTTGCTTTCTACCAACATTAGAGGGTTGGAGGCGTTGGACTCGGTATCAGATTCTTGTGTCAGTATCTCTAGCTGTTGTTCAACCCGGAACCGCACTGTCATACATACACAATTCATTTTTTTTGTTTCTGATTTTCCTCATCCAAAAATATTTGATTATCGGCATCATTAATACAATGTAAATAATTCATTTGTTCTTAATGGAGATTGTTATTGGAACTTACCGTGCTTTGGTCGTCAAGATCTGGTGACTCAAGAGCCATCACAACACAGTTCAAAAGGATGAAAGCGAGCACAACCCGATCAAACCATTTGTTTCTGTACAGCGTGTTCATCAATTTGCGAAACCTGAAATACATCCGTGGATTATAAAAAATTCTGGATGGGCATAAGTGTTAGGCTTAGCATACCCACGCACAACCAAACTTGGTGTAATTTGCACCACGAAATGCTATGAGTGGAGACTCAGACGAGGATAAACTAAACGAGAAAAAACTGATTGAGCAACGAATCTGTTTCGCTAAGAACAATCCCCTGCTCTATTAAAAATGTTATCTTACTACGTAGTGATAAACAATAAACAGTTTTAAACAATAAATACTTGAAGACATAACTTGAAGGCAACTCCTCCTACGTTTTTTGGTCAGAGAGATGTAAGAACACTTTACATGCATAATTTCGGACCTTTTCAAGAGATTTTTTCTTAACTTTAATAGTCCTTCAATATATTAGGTTTATTTTCGAGCATACTTGTTAGAAGGTGAAAAGATGTATAGGGACCAGTCCCGTCTACAGTAGCAACATGTTACACCATCCTGGACCCAAACTTGTGCCTCATCCTCTTCTCTTGCGCTCATCTGAGAAAGAGAGAAAGACTTCCAGCTTTTTCTTAACTCTACTGGTATTTGCGTGAGATCAGCCATTTTAGTCCCTGGCAGCGCAATAACCCATGAGCCAGAAAATTAAAAAGATCCTAACTAAAAATATTGAAGCACTGCAACATGGACGCACGATTGAAAAAAAACAAGGTGAAACTTAGCCTGCATCGCAGATGTAGTTTAACGTTGGTAAAGTAACAAGGTTAATATACGTCTACAACGAACAATGGAAGGAAGGATGCCGTAGTGATTTGAGTTCTTGTCTTCTATCAATTTGGCGACGCTATGTTTATGCAGGTTACCAGTTCCGAGAGGGAACTCTGGGTCCTCTAGACTTCCCCTCTCCTTAATAACACGTACGTCCAAGTTCCAATGATTTAAGCTGGAAGGCAAAAACACTGCGTGATTTGAAATGTTTCCTTTCAATTTCTCTTAATTTAGTCTTCTTTGCAAACCATGCATTTTAAGGGGTCAAAAAACCCACAAAGATCAAACAAGACGACTGACGAAAAAGACAACTAAGTTATATGTACAACTGGAAACACATACCTCATATTCATCATCAGAAGTGATACATCGCTCTGCATGAGCAGGGTTAGCTATAACCATTGTTGTAGTATCTCCAAATGAAAGAGTCTTGTGTGGTATTTTTGGGGAGGTGCTTACAGGGGAGACTGGGGCCGAAGCGTGGCATTCCTGAGAAAAATACACGATTATGTTTAGACTCTTGTTAAACTTTAAGTTTGTTAGAGAATGCTAGGAATTAAAACTTCCTAAAAAGACAAAAAAGTGGCTTTGCGCCGTGGCTCACAAATGCGATTGCGCATGTTTGTTTGCAGGCTTAAAATTGAGGAAATCTCAGGTGTCTTAACCTGTTTTAAAGAATTAAAAAAAAAAACAGACAAGGATGAGAAAGATTCCACAATTTTAACTATACGACAAATTGACATTCATGATACAAAAACCATGCCCAAAGATCGTCTATTGCCTTAATTGCAGTGTAGCATTAAAATAGGGGAAGCATAATGTCCGGCTGCGATTCAACTGAATCAAATTTCTTTCCAACTATAGACTCACATCTCTACATAATGTACTTTTAGGTGAAAGAGAAGGAAATGAGCAGCGCAAGCGATGCACTGGATCAGCGGTGTCGCTATCATCATATCTTCTCATGTCGTCATGGGAACCAGCAGGCCCCATATTGGCTACTGATGGTGTGGGACTCACGCATACCCGAGGCGTTACCGTGGTAACTAAATGGTGGCATGGCTGGGCATACAAGCGGTTTTCACCGTTTTTTCCAACATCTTTATCGCGTCTACATGTTTTTGACTTAACACTCCAAGTACTTCCAGTCTTTTCCTAATAATGGAGAAAAAGTAAGAACTGTTTAATTCACGGATTCACGAAGAAATCCTTCTTGCTTCTAAAGTTAAAATTAGTTGAAATATGAAACGAAACTTTAAGCGGAAGTAAAAAAGTCTATAAAGAATATCGCTCGCTATTGATTACATTCCCTCCAGTTTGCGTTATTAATTAAAAGACTGCGTAAATCCTACAGCGAGTGAACAAATCGTGATGCGCAGATTCATGCAAGCTATTCTTTGTAATTAAAGAAAGCATTCAAACAAAACAAGAAATAGACTAATTTCGATATATACTTCGCTCCAAGGATTTGGGGAATTAGAACAAAAAAACATCTTAAGACTCAGGGTGAATAAAACATTTCTTTTGTTTTATTTCCTCAAGCCTCGAAGCTAAGCATGAATTTTAAATATAATATTACTGACATTGAAGACCATTAAGCGATAGCAGAAACTCATAAGGGGTTTTCAATCCCTTATGAGTTTCTGGTGCTAGTTGATCGTTAAATGCCTTGTTTCTTAAGCAAAAAAGACAAAAAAGACGCTTACCGGTTGATTAGCAAATCCTTCTACAAGAATGGCAACCAGCAAATTAAAGAGGATATAGTTTCCTATTGTCATGAGTAGTATGAAATATAAAGCTGCCCATTTGGAAGTAGCTCGCATCCCATCGTACATCACTGTGTTCCAGTCCTCCTGGGTCAGAACCTGGGTAAAACGTATACATTACATTAGATCCTTGCTATGGCAGCCTTAATTCCCTTGGACACCTTGAACAAAATACAGCTTAAAGCAGCTCACGTTGCCTTGGACGTAAGATCAGTTCAGTGACATCCGTAACGAATTGAGCTGAACCTATGACTGACGCCATATTTACCAAAATAAACGCAATAAAAGGGAATATTTTAAATAACGTTTCCAATGGGATATCGGTCAGTCTTACCTGAAAAACAGTCACCAGTGCCCAAAACAGGTCATCAAAATTTGCACGTGCTGTCTCGGGCTGTCCACTCTCATTTGGAAAATCGTATTTACCACCAAACAGGTTCATTCCTAATATACTAGCTGTGAAGATGAACAGCGCCAACAGGGCAAGGAAGGTCATGACGTTGTCCATAGTGTGGATCATTACTAGCAGCTGACGCCTCAGCGCCGGTAGGAATCGGACTAACTTGAATATCCGCAGCAACCGGAACGACCGCAGGACTGAAATACCGCTGTCACTATCACCGAACACTTCAACAATACTGGAAAAAAAATCAGAGTTGATTAAGGGACGAAAATAAAATATATAGATCTTCAAAAGCAGGCCCGCCACCGTGACGAGAACCACTGAATTGATGCAGGCAAGTCATCTTTGATCATTCCCATCCTCACAATTGGTACATGGACTTTTGACCCTATTGGTAATGTTAGAAGTCTCAGTGTATCCCACCCACTGTGCTATTAATCGACTGCTACGCTGTCTGAGCCATGGCCATCTACGCTTCTCTAGTGAAAACTCCACTGTCTCTCTTGATATCGTTTCGGTTAAGTCTCGCGTGAAGACCCCAGGAGTAGCTGCATACAAGTTAGTCTAAATCAAGTCTGACTGCTCTATGCTGGGTCTGCGGCATTAAAACTCACCTCATAATAACAATAAACCCGTCAAATAGATTAAAGGGATCCTTGATGTAACCATAGGGACCCATTCCTACTAGCTTGAGTAGCATCTCTAAGGCAAATATGGCCGTGAAAATATAATTAAGAATTTCCAAAACTTTATCCATCATTTGAGGCTGTAAAGAAAAAGAGTAAACATCAAATAAAGTTTAGTTAATCAGTCTGACAAACGCAGCGAGGGATAAATAGTGTGAACATTGTCTCATCTGTATTGCAAAGCTTTGATTCAAATATTCACAAATATTTAGTTTTATAAATGTAGTTGATACAGTTAATTTACCAATGTCAGGAGATTCAAATGTTTACGTTCCGAGTGTTAGTCCTATGAAGAAGGGTTACTCCATCTCCAAAGCAGCACCACATTTTCTTTTAAAACAAAACCCCTATATATATTTCCAAATAGTGTGTGGTACTGTGGTAGTGCGTGGTAGTGTGTGGTACAGTGATCGTGTGGTACTGCATACTCCTAAGCAATGTTCGATATTATCTTGCATCAGCACAGGTTATAGAAACACTATCAATTTAAACTTCAATGAGGTTTTACTAACAGTGCGTTTAACTGAACGAACAAGTTGGTTGAACATCATCTAGTATTGTTAGAAGACAGCCCTTAGATCCCTTTGAACACCTCGACGAATAGTGTAATTTTTTTGGATGAGGTTTAACGTTCTGGCATAAACGGACAATTAATATAGCAAATAGCAAAAGTGAAAAATGGTGGAAAATAGGTAAGAATTTTCCTTAAAAAAATTATTGCCCCCAGTGTATGCTTAGCTGCAGATCCTTCTTAAGACAGCGATTTGATTGGTGGAAGATGCACCGTATCATTGCGCGCAATGTTGCAGACTGCAGAAAGAGATTCTACCGATGCAACATTGCGCGTAAATATTTCAGGCGAGGACTCATTAGTTTGTCTCTGGACCTTGGAGTCATGTTAAAATGTGATTTTTCTCTAATAAACAAAAAATATCAATTTTCTTGAAGCATTCAGTTTATTACCTGTCCGTGGTACTCAACGCCCATACTGAGAGTGTTAAGAAAGATGGCACCCATAATAACGTACATAAACCATTTACTTTCCACGCTGCGGCGACACGCATGACGGAAGCGTGCGACTGGCTTTTCATTTTGTTGCGTGCCGCCATCGTATTCATCATCATCAAAATCACTATCGCTGCCCGCATCCTCTTCCTCGTAAACAAATTCTGATTCATAGTCCACTTTAATGTCTTCCTCAACGTGCTCCACGGCGCATGAGCAAACGTTATGTATAGCAGAGGCAGCGACAGCACTGGCAGAAGCTGCTGCGGTTACACTAGTTAGCGAAGCCGCTGACAAAAAAGAGTGAGTTGAAATATCAGCCACTGCCGATTTGCCGTTGATAGCAACAGCCGCCGTTGCTGTGGTAATCATTTCTCCCGCGTTCAATGAGGAGGAAGGATCTTTTCTCACTGAACAGGAAGAACCAGTGATTATAGAGATTGTCTGTATTGCTCCTGTCCCCTCACCATTACTGGGTACCTGTCCCGGCACAGTAAGCGTATTACCACTCGGTTTGTCTTGTTTTGATTGTAAACGCCGAACATCAACCGAAGATCCATCTCGGATCATGTTCATATTTCCCTGATTCGCGGGTGACTGCTGTTCAATATTACCGCATGGACACTTGGGATCTGTGCAGTGTACATGATGATGATAATGATGATGATGATGATGATGATGGTGATGATGATACACCAATTTCTTTTGCCTTCTTCGGCGTCTTCTACGCTTGGAAGTTCTTCTTTTCTTACTCCCATCATCGCAATATTTGCAATTAAATTTTCTTTGAAGTCTTCTTTTGCATCTTCTGAATAAGTGTTCAATGTATCTTAAAATTTCAATCCAGCAGCCGTCCTTTCCATACCTACTACTAGCTATTGTACTTGTGCTTGTTCCTTCACGACGACGACTTTGTCGCAACAGTTCACTCTCACGCTGTTTGGTTTCTTGAAACTGAGTAGTGATCACAACTAAACACAGGTTTGTCATGAAGTAGGAGGCTATCTGCAAGAGATTACCAAACATTTAGTCGGAATTTAGTCCTTTTACCCTTTTCGTCCTTTATTACATCCGTCAATCTTTCCTATAATTCTTGCTGACCTCAATTGTGCACATTTCTGTATCATTTCCACAATAAATAACCTTCCAGTTGTTTTTCAAATTCATTGGTACTGATCCTAACGCCCCGAATACCAGACCTACCAGAATCACCTTTGTCCTTAAGTTCAACCCCACATAAAATTGAGGCTGTAGAGTTAGAATAACAATTACAAAACTTTTGAAATATATTTTGCAAAGACGATTATTACTCTTAAATTATCGTTATCGTTATTGTAATCATCACCATTATTTATTTATTTAGTTTGGTTTTCCAATCTCAATATGTTCGGCTATTACCATTATCATTAATTACTTATTCATTTTTGGGGTTCACAACCTTCTGTTCTGCTATGACGGCTCAATCGTAAGTTACTATCCCGGCTGGCTAACAAGGGTACGTACCACAATAAGAACGACAAAATAGATCCAGTTCCAAAAGCCATGGGCGTCCTGCACATAATACATGATGTCCGACCATCCTTCTAGCGTAATCACCTGAAGAAAATAAATAAGTAAGATCATTTACCTGACTTGAGACAAAATTTTGCGAATTTTCTTCTAATGTTTAGCTATCCTACCTTCTCCTAGCCAAGATATTTTCATAGCCTTATCAGAAGCATATACCCCTTTTGTTTATATGCTTCTAGGGTTATACAATGTGACTGTTTATTACACTTTGAATTTGAAGATAACACAGTAAAAATGTCATTTGCTAGAATCAATAAAATAGTGATGTGCAGTACTGGATATTCTTTGTAAGTGGTAGCATTACTGCTTGATTTCTCGTGGGAGATTTTCGTTGTCTTTAGTTTAGCTCAGGTTAATAAATCTTTAAAAAAATGTGCATCCTTTGAAGTATTTTAATAAAAGCATGTTTTCAAAAGTAGGGCCGGAAAATCGCTTCTCTTTTTTGGTGTGTAAAAGTTGGTCAAACGTCATATCCTGTACGTAAAATTATAAAACACAACCATTACGTGAAGACTATTTTAGTACTGGTATTTACTCGAATAAGCGCCGTCCCCGATTAAGCCCCGCCCTCGAATATGCACCGCATTTGGGAGAAACAAGTTAATAAGAACCCTTCCCACTCCCGCCAGTAATCGCCGCAGCCCTGATACAATCAAAATCAAAAGACGTTAATTCCGTTAGTTTAATATGGAAATAATAATGCCGTAGTTAATACAATTCTTTATCGCGTCCAATTTTCAAATAAACGCTCCCTCAGATAAGCGCCGCGCTTGAAGCGTGAAAAGTTCGAGAAAATACAGTACTCTGTTTTACTCCCTCAAAATAAATTATATATATATATATATGATATATATAAAATTTATTTTGAGGGAGTAAAACTGAGTAAATATACCACTCGTAAAATTCATAAAAACTACATCCGGGACCCGAGTGGTTTATTTTCCATAATGTCACACGTGAGTTTATCGATGACGTAATTTCGGTAATTTCCCTTCGAAATTTATAGGCGTCTGGCGTCTTTTGAATTTTACTTACGCATTTTTCAAAGTCTTGCTTATATTTTGTCATTGTAGAGCCCTATTTCGTTCAGTATTATTTCTCAAGATTATTGCAAACAACGTCTTATATTGCCCTACTGTAAATTTGAGTCATCACAATTACTAATCTATTATTTTATCAATGTCTTTTTGTCTATATAATAAAAAGAACATTAAACGGCGGATTGAAGATATGAATTTTATTTTCTCGTGGCAAAAACAATATTTTACTCACTCGCTGCGCTCTTTCGTAAAACATTGCTTTGCCACTCGAAAATAAAATTCATATCTTCGCGCCACCGTGTAATACCCTCTATATATTTTTTGGGGGGTTACGTTTGAGTCCAGCTATTTTTGTACTAACCTGGAAAATAGCGACCCAAGCAAGGAAGATGTTGTCGAACCCGATGGCTCCCCAAAAAGGATTGTCGCCTTCCAGTCTGCACTGATTGTAATACCCATTCCAATTGACGCAGTTGTTGGAGTAATTAGACATTCCCTTTTGGTCACAGCTTAGCGTACAGCTTCTGCCAGATGTATCATCTTTTAACACAGGAATATTGCTACAAGGCTGCATTCCGTTATTAGTTGATTGTGTACAAACAAAGTCGGGATCGTCAAATGATGGCACATAGAATTTGGTGTAAGTATAGTTTGTAGGGTCGCATCTGAAAGAGGATGAAGGCATTTTAAATTAGAACCAGGATGATACAGAATTGTCCCAGAAAAATGAGGAACATGCAGTCAATTCACTTTCTTTCAAACTTCTTCTCGATTACTCCGGTTTGTCATGTTTCTTAAGGCGACAGACTATAAACAGTTGATGCCTCTGCAAATGGATAACTGTATTAACCACCAGAGTCATCAGTAGGTACTATAGTAGCAGTTAATCGTTCAACTAATTACCCACGCACCCGTCTGAGACACTTTGAGGAGGAAAGCACCTTCCTCTAAGCACTCCTTGCCATAACTGAACAGCAACGATACCAAAAATAGCAAAGATGAAGAAGCAAATAGCAAGCACGTTCCATAACATGGGTAATGTATCAAGTAACAGCGTCACAAGAATACGAATACCTGCAAAGTAAAAGCAATTATTGGTGAGGACAAGGTTGAGCAAAATATCACAATTTGTCAGTAAGAAAGAGGTCAATAATAATTAATAAAAAAATAATGCCAAACGTTGAGTTAAATAAGTTATCCATGAGACACTAAATAACCACGACATATTGCCAACCGTTGTTTCATCATTCGACTTCTTGTTTTATTGTATTTTTTTGTTTACGGTTGTTTTATTACATTTTATATTGTTATTGGAAAGCTGGGACTGACAGACTGCACATGAGCCTCATATTCGTCAGCAAAGAAAATTTTCTGTTCTACGCATGAGCAGACCATTCTCTAGTGCAGTAACCATAAAAAAATACGCGTCTACACGTAGCGTATTTGAATCGTTTTCGCCCTTTCACATAAAAACCGTAGAGAGCATGTGAAATGTTAGTAAGTATATATGTACGACATCATCGTATTCGGAAGCCAGCGTTTTTGAAAAGAGGCAGTTGGAATATTCGAAAGCGCCGGATAGTCGTTTTCGCGTGGACGAACAAAAACGGAGGTTTTGGTATACAATTACGTCATACATCATACAGCGCACGCATGCATCATTTTAACCTTATTCGTCTGGACGGGGAAAAATCTATTTGAATACGCTACGTGTGGATGCGTCCTTAGTTTAAAACGGAGCAAAACATCTCCGTTTTTCATAAAATAACCCCCGGGATACGCGTGGACGAGGCCTAAACTAACTGTACATTGTTCTGTTTTGTTTTGTTGTTGTTTTTTTTTAAACTTAAAAAAAACTCGTCTATGTAAAGATATGTTCACTTACTCGGAACTCTGTTAATAGCGCGAAGAGGCCTAAGCACTCGGATGGCACGGACAGCGCTAAAATATTCTCCTTTGTTATACAGTAGTTCGAACGTCCTAGGAAAGAAAAAAGTAGTGAATTATTGAAAGCCCGGCCCTTTATTAAGTGAGTTAAAATAGAAGCATCTAGCTCTCACCCCGCAGCAACTATAAAGCAATCCAAACGATTCCAGGAATCAGCAAAATATGCATTCTTTCCAAAGAGTCCCATAGCCATCCATTTGCACAACATCTCAGCTAAAAAGAACGCGTAAATAGCTTTCTCCATGGATTCCAGTATTTGACATCTTTGCGTTTTGCAATCTTTGTCAGATGGGTCGTACAGCCCAAGCGTCACGCAGTTAACGAGAATTACAAATATGCTGATACGTTCAAAATACGTGCACAAAGTGAAGGAAAATTACGAGGTGTTTTTTTTTATGTTTTGAGTGAATCTATTTTGCCCTGTAATAGTATCAATAATAATAATAATAATAGGTCAATAGCGTCAATTTAGCTTAATTAAAGATTGATTCGAAATATTCTATGAAATACAGATTGAATCTAATATTAAAAGTAACACAGTCAAGATGAAATTTCCAGCTATAATGAATTTCGGAAAATCATTTCCTTTATAATTATTTTTCGACGGTTTTCTCGCTTTCACCTTTTAAATAATAAAATAATAATAATGATAATAAACGTTTGGCCATGGTCATCCTAGCCATGATTTGTATAGGTAATAGCATGATTTGTAGTGATATTTGGCATAAATACCACGAGTTATATTTCGAAATTGTTATACGTAATTTCTCGAGCCGCTAGGCGAGTGAAATTTGAGACAATTTTGAAATATCACGAGTGGTATTTATGCCAAATATCACGGACAAATCATACTATTATTTGTTTATACTACTACCCACAAAAGGTTTGTAATTTTCACATGAAGGTATTTCAAATTAAGCTGAAATACCACTGCTCTGAGCCAATCAAATTGCAGAAATTTCTAATGTAGTGGTATAACAAAAAGTATTGATCGCTCCATCTGCCACACTACAGGCATGTTAGCTCAGTTCTCGTTTTTAAGTTTTCTCCTTTGATCTTCAATACAATAAGTCAGTCAATAGCATCAATTCAGCTTAATTAAAGATTGATTCGAAATATTCTATAAAATCCAGACTGAATCTAAATATTAAAAAAAAAAACAGTCAAGATGAAATTTCCAGCTATAATAAACTTCGGAAAATCATTTCCTTTACCAATTTTTTTTCGACGTTTGTCTCGCTTTTACTTTTTAAATTTTCACATTATTTAATATAATACATAACAATTATGGTAGAACAGTTTCATATGGTGAATATCATTCAAAGCGAAATGAAAGTTTTGCCTGTCTAGTTTAGACCGATATTCGTTACTTCGGAAATGGTCGCGTTGTGTTTTTAAATTGATGGCTTCAAGCTAGTAACCGTAAAGATATGAAATTATCGGAAAATTGATCAATTTTTTAAATCGATCATGAGACGTCAAAATCAATGAGATTTACGATGAACTTTAATTCTAAATGGCAATACAACCTAAATTAAACTGTCTTTGATGAGAACTCGACGTTCAACATGTCTTTCTCGTTTCTGCTTTCCTTTTACGAAAATGCAATTAAAACAACTTAAAGTAATCGCTATTTTACTGAAATACCGTGGCTTAAAATATTGGTTTATAAAAGAATGTAAAGTCAGTCAACGAGGACCGCATGTGAAACTTGTTGCCAAGTGACTTCACTGAGTTCCAAGTGCTAAAAGGCTTTTGTTCTTTCATATTGATTTTAATTCAGTCGAAAGCTAAAGTAATTAAAACACTAATATTTTGCATCTTGCAATGAAAATTGTACAGTTTGAGAAGAAATGGCAGAGAAGTGAGGGGAGATTGGTTAACGCTAAAGGTACATATTTTTACTTGGGCAAAAGGATTAGGGGATAGAAGAAAGATTTTTCATACTTATCAAAAGATTAACAGGCTACCGCTGTTTTATCTCACTAAACACACAAGAGTGCAATATTAGAATTTCAATCAACGTTAAATATAAGTTTGCGCAAGAATTAGACTTAAAGAACAAATAAACGATAACAGCGGTAAGAAACAAGAAAATCCTGTTAAATGCCTTTAAATTTCCTTTAAATGAACTGCAAACAGCTGGTTGTTATGTTGCATGAAAAAGGACCTTAAACTAAGCAGATTTTTTACCAAAAAAAAAACATATATTCTTGTTAAAAAGGATATGGCCACGTTACGACACGAATGAACCAACGTCGAGGAAGCTGCTGGCGATGAAGAACAAAGAAAGCAAAGGGTTGAAAATCCTTAAAAATATCGTTACTTGTCTCTTCAATATTTTCAATCTCGTTATCATAACGAGGCTCTGTTTTTCTGTCAACTTTACACTCATCAGAAACGTCCAGGTTGCTTGAAATTTTCTCGATAGCATCTTCGTCTGATTTATCGTTTCCTGACATTACTCGTCAAATAAATTCTTGTTTCGCTCGCAACCCAAGACGAAGAACGGCTTGGTATGAGAAAGTACAAGTCTCAAGTTATTGTTATTTCCCTCCTGTATGTTTTAAGAGCCGCTTGATCTTCCATTTTTAATATTGGATCTGGGTTGAAGCGCATCCATAATGATGCAGTTCGGTTAACGCAACTCCACATCAAGCAAAAACGAGGGTGTTAATGTAGACAATACTGGTGACATAAAAGTCATAACGACTTGAAGGTCAGTCTGATAATGTAATATGTACCAATTTTCACTGTCGAGAGCTGTGGTCTGTTTTAATTATAACCGTATTATTTTACCCTCAACGAGAAGAGCCCGTCTGTGATATGTACCCTTGGAGACGCTGTCAGCTGCTTAAAATGTAAATTGAAGATCGCAGAGTAAGTTTACTTCGCACAAGCCGACTCCATGACGCACATTAAGCTTTTCCTAATGACCAAATCTTAGCTGAAAGACGCCTCAAAATATATACTCCACGCGTAACAGGCAATAAGAAAAGTCTGTGGTAAAAACAAGATGTGAGTTCCTGGATTGACCCCTGAAAATAAACCAAAGACTAAATTCAAAATTAACATACATGCAAGAATAAAAAACCGCCTGAGTCTTTTATACCTCATAGACAGAAGACATTGTAATACCATCAGTTTTACCTCGATTGTCCACTGAAAATTGGTTAAAGTCCAAGAAAAGTTATCGATGACCCAGTTAGGAATTTAAAAAAGCGAGAAAAGAGTTTTTCAAGGGGCAAAATTCTTTCTTAGTAACAATAATTTACCTTAATTGACGGGATGATGATGGGAAGAGTGTGATAGCGATATCTTATGGATTCTGAATTTATTTACAAGTAAACCGGCGAAAAAGATAGAAAATGCAAATCAGGAGCTCAGCTCCAAAGGATCCCTGCATGTTTAGTTTATTTCACTTACCTAACACGTGTGTCGACTCGAACATAAACCGGACCAGGTCGCCCTCGCCGCTTACAGAAACATTTTCGTAAGAGATCTACTCGGTCTCAAATGAATAATAAAGAAAGCTCAGCATTGAAGCAAGTTTCCAGCGGCAGAGAAAAGAAGAAAAGAAAATAATATTTTTTTCACTAGAAAAACACAAATACGTCTGCTATATAATTCGATTGCTTTGTGTTCTTTTAACACCTGTTAGGCACGTGATTAGAATGAGTAAATACGATTGGTTGACTACAATTATTTTACTAATAATATGACATCCGTTGTATTGTACTATAAAACTTGTGCTTCTTTGATGGCTGTCAAGAGGCATAGCACTCTTAGCTGGAACCCAAGCTGTTTTTGATTCCCTCCCGCTGAGATAAAAACAAAATCCCATTTATTTTGCTGCCACTCCATTAAAATATATGTTTTCAGTCAGAGACAAATTGAACGATTAAAAGAATTTGCCTCTGTGTGAAAGCTAATATTGGTCTTTACACTGTCTTAAATCATCATCAAGTAAATATAATAACCTTGGGCAAAAAATGAGGAAAAGTACGTTTCCTTTAATAGATAGCACTCTCTACCCAGTATAACGAAAACTGGGTCATTTGAAAGACGGGAATAACAACTTTTAGTAACACAAAAAACACTCCTTGCACAGAAGATAATTATCTATGCATAAATCATCAGTCCGTCCTTAAGATTGCCTTATAAAAATTGTTTGAAAATATTGACAAAAAAACTTAATTGGTCAAAAATTGAACTCTCGCGCAACACCCAAATTATATAAGTTTTAGTTTCTGACTTTTTTATGCAATCTAAAGGCGTTGTAATTATGCAATGATATACAATCATCATCATTATCATTATTATCACCACCACCACCATCAAACCCTGAACTTGGACTTCAGTTTCGGAGCCTTCTGGTGTTAGAATTATCATTCTTCCGAATATCATTACCTTTAAGTTAAATATACAACTGCTGCTATAAAACAGCACAGGTCACACAGAACCGGTTTGTCATTTCATGACAAAGACGTGCTACATGCACTTCGTAATCCTTGCTCCCCCAACGCCCGCCTTCCCCCCCCCCCCCCCCCTCTTATTTTCACTAAGAGTACTTTGTGTAAGGAATAACATGTCAGACAGCTCCGGCGCATTTAGAATACAGAGCTCACTTCTAGAAGCAACAACAACAACAACAACAAACGAAAAATCTTTTTCACAGGTTTCTCGATAAATTCAGGCTAAACAGACAAAGCTTTACCTGTAAAAACTGTTAGACTGAATTTCGTCGCCTTTTTCGTCTTGTTAAGAACAGCTTCTTCGTTTATTTTTCTAAATTAAGTCTCGTAATACTTCATTTAGCTGACATGTTTATAAAAAAGCTGTAAACTTAGTTAAATGATCTTTTTTACAGAATGTTTTCAAATACAGGAAGAATTCACAACATCTTTTGAACAAATGTCGTTGACAAATGTTGTTGACAAATGCAAATGCAGTTTGCATTCACTGGGTGTAAGAGCTGGCAGCAATTAATGAGTGAAAAATCATAATTTCTGTGCTCAATTATCCCACTGTGTCAGTATATACTAGAACAATTATTCATCTGTGTCGGTGGCTAGAAGTGGGTATTAACCTGTCTCAAATTCGGTGAATAATTGTAATATACATGCTATTTCTAACCTAGCTAACTGAGTATGGCATTATTTTACCTGTATATGACCGAATTTTTTTTTTCAGTGCAACAACACAACAGCTAGAAACTGACCATTCTCAGAATTTGCCTATCTGGTGTCGTAGAAAATACCCTAGTAGAAAAAAATAAGCTAAATAGAAAAGATAAAGACCTTAAAACTTACAAAACTCTTGGCATAAAGGCAGTTTAGGGATCTCTACGGTCAGCGAATCGAAAGGGAATTCGCGGTATTTTAAAAAGCTTTTACCATCCAAATATCTAGTCGCTGTAGCACTTATCTCAAGTACTCAGCTTGGCCCTATTTCAGTTGTTGGATAGTATCTTCTTATTCCTATTTACTTGTGCATTCAGTTACATTTAAAAACCTTTTTAAGGCTAAGTCACTTCTTAAAAATGGCTATCTTTAAAATACATAATTTCCATATTCACAAAATGAAAATAAAAAATTCTTCCTTTGATACAGCTAATTACCAATCTATTTTCCGTCTCATGTTGGTTTAAGTAGACTTTTTCCATTTAGAAATGTTACATGGCTTTTGGGAAAGTAGAGCCCTGTTGCTCTCCTCAACGTCCATTATATTTCATAAGAAAAATTTGCTTTGAAATAAATTTCACTTTGGCTGGCCAGTGCAATAAAGATATACGCGGTGAATTCTCTAAATTATCTATTATTTCGAATTTTGGTCCTGCACGGTCAGAATAGTTAGCGGCTCCCCGGCCGGCGCTATATGTTTTTGACATTTCTTGACAATGTTTGTTTTATTCGAATGATCTCATGTCAACATTTCCGTCTCATTAAATGGACTTAGTTTACATCCTAATATATATTTTTAAAAAAAGTAAATAATAGTGAACTTAACAAAGCATGATTTACATATTCTAAGTGCGATGATCCAAGTCGAAATGAAAAAAGACAAATAAATTATTCGAAAATAATTTTAACATTCAGACTCCAGCATTTGTATTAATTGATAGGATCAAAAGATTTTAGAAAATATCAGGAGAAATGGTTGACTTTCGATATATTAAAATTCAGCATGATGTCGAGACCAGGAGAATATAAAAAAATAATGAAGAAACGAAAGAGGGCTATTCTTATAAAACATGGACATGAAAACTAGTGAAAGCTTAGTTTGTTTGTTTCATTTAACTCCCAACTTATGATGATATACATCGAATATTCTTTCTATAACGCCTAAGGATTTGATCTTAATCAAGAAAAATAAAAATCAATCCAACCGTATCTCTCACCTTTCATCTATATAATCTGGCGATAATATTACTCATGATCAATTTTCTCACTTTAAGATTAAAAGCGACGTGTCACGTATTGCTCGGAAATGTAATTTCAATTTTTAAAGTATAAGCGTTATCTCTGCGCGTGCGTTGTTGCTCTGAAAAAATTTTGAGAACACTTAATCTGTTATTTGCTATAAACAATGGTATAAGTTTTATAAGAAATCTTAGGACGTCATTTAAAACATCGGTCATTTTGTATTCTACTGAAAACTGAGATTAATTTATTACATGAAAATAATAATATTTAGATAAACCAATATAATGTAGATTTTCACAGGTTGCAAGGCTCCATCAACAGTTTCAATGTCAATGTAACAATAATAAATAAATAATAATAGTAATGATGATAATAATAACATAATTTTTATAATTAAATTTCAAATAAATAATAATTTTACTGATAACAATGCTAACTATTGAAATACTATTTACAAGTTACTCCTCTAGAAAAAACTATTCCGCCTAAACACTATTTACAATTCCTTTCAATTAAAAGATACTTGGTTTTGGTTAGAAAAAAAAACTCATTTAATTAAAAAAAATTATTCGAATTAAAAACATTTCATTTCAATTAAGACAATCCATTTCGATTTAAAAAATAATAATAACAATATAAATAATACTACACAAGCCAAAAACGGTGGAAGAAAAGAATGATATCATGCACCCTTATCTATGTCAATTGCCTATTCATACATATCGAGAAATTTCTAAAAAACGCCCTGACATTGTCAAGAACAATCTGGAAAAGAAAATTACTCTCATTGATGTGGCTATATCTTCAGATAAAAATACTTTCACTAAGGTTTCCGAAAAATTATAAAAGTATAAAGATCTGGAAATAGAAATCAGCAGAATGTAGGGAATGAAGACAGCAATAATCCCAGTGGTCGTAGGTGCGATAGGAGTGATTAAGAAAGGTTCAGAGAACCTTGTCAGAGAAATTCCAGGAAACATCAACCTCTGGAAAATTTTAAAGAAAACATTGTGGCCTGCGTAGCAGCCGCTTGGAAGCAGTGGGCGCAAGACAGAACAACCGCGCGAGAGGGAGACGCGCGAGGGGAGAGGGAGCGCCTGTCCGGAAGGCCTACAAACTCGCATTCTCTGAGTGCCTCAGTTGGTCGAGAGGCGCCCGAGAGAAGAAGTAACGGCGCTGGACGAGAAAACTGTCAATCAAAAGGTATTCAAGAAGGAAAGAATTGACACTTGGCGGAGTGTGTTGTCAATGGAACGATACCATCAAAACTTGGATATGACTGATGAAATTGTATTATTCGTTTGGAGGCGACCTAAGGTCTGTTGTTTATGTCTCGTTACTACATCAGAAAACGTCTCGGTACAGTTTGCATGTGTTACGTTCTGAAGTTTAAGTCCGCTTAGTAAGACATGTCTGCTCCAAAAACGGCTGCCACTTAGCGCAGTGGAAGCAATGGCCATTTTCCACATGCACTGTGATCGTTGGTGGCTGACTAAGTAAGCTTAGAGAACAATATTTAGCTTTTTATAATTCACAGCATGCATTCTTTAAAAGATACCCATTTTTTACTTTGCTTTTTCCTATTTATTGTGCGCCTGGTTAAAAACGATTTAAG